TTACATAACAAAGTAATTATAAAATATAAAAAAAAATTATGTATACATTTAATGTATAATATTTACATACACAGACTACATGCATGTTATGTAATATGAGTATTACATTCTAAAAATAAATTAAAAGATTTTTTTTTCTCTTTTAATAATTTTATCCCTATTTTTGGTCCCCATAAGCTCTCATTACATAATAACATCTAACACATGTGTACATACATATGTACATATATAGTTGAATAAATTTTAATTACAATATAGGAAGAAAATAAAAAGAAAAACATACAAATAAATAGTTTTTCTCTTCTCATTTTTCTGTTTTTTAATATTAATTTTAAAAAAATTATGTAATTTGAAATAAAAAAAAAGAAATTTTAATATTGTGATAGCACACATTTACATGTTATGTGCATCACATATGCACTTACATCATACACTTAATACCTTATCTTATGAACTATAATTTATTTTACTTAAATATATTGTTGTTCTTTTCTAATGTATTATTTTGTTCATTATTTTATCATTATGTTTGTGTTATATAACAAGATTTTTATGGTATACAAAAGTAAATATACAAAAAAGAAAAAATTAATTTTTTATTTATTCTTTATAAAGTACAAAACCTTAATTATAATTAATATAAGCACATTAGTTCAATTTTATGATAGTACTATGATAAAAAAGAAAAACTACTAAAAGGATAAAAAAAAAAATAATAAATAATCGTAAATTATGTAATTTTCTCGAAGTATGCTATTTTATAGGCAACAATATTCCAAGCAAATTAGAATAATTTTTAAATAAAATTTCAGAATTGTAATTTACAAAAAATGCAAACATTTTTGAATTAAAATTAATTCCATTAAATGATTGGGCACTCACAAAATTTTAGTTAAAATCTCGAAATATAAAAAAAATTTGTCTAGTTGCCGAATAACTGATCTCTGAGTTACAAATTCAGCAAAGGCCACTTATTTACAATTCTTTAGCTATTTGCAGGATGTAATTGCTAAGAAGCTCTATTCAAAAGCGCATCGCAATCGCTTTCGTCTCTTCATACAATTCTTAACGTTGCAATGGGCTATTCTTTTGACAAAAATAAAAAAATAAATTTCATACTGTTATTTATTTCCATTTAAATTTTGTTTTTTTTTTCGTGCATTTTTCACAAATTATAATTAAAATTAATTGCTCCTAAAATTATGCAATAGATTATGCAGCAATAGATTGCAGCTTAAGGTGTCAAATCAAATCAAATTGCGATTTATGGTACATATTTAGAAATGCAATTACAAGGATTACATAAGAAAGTCCCGCAATTGTTCTTAATTGCAAAATAGGTTAAAATTGTTCTATTTCTACTATGTGAAGTGGGTTTTTGGGAGAATTTTCTTTAGCATCGAACGGGGTGGATCCTTACAATATATTTTCGAATTTATTGCAAAAATAGGTGTTAATTGACTTGAACTGCTTGAATGATTTTTGAATTAAATTCATCAGCAAATTATGAAATCAGATATTAACATAATCAACATAACAATCATAAAATTTCTATTTTTTACTCTCTCTCGCTCTCAGTCATCGGGAAATTCTATAACTGCACTTAATCCTTTCTTATAAAATTTTCCTTATAAATAATATAAAACTATACTAATGCATACATAATATATGTGAGTATATATATATGTAAAAGAATTTAAGAAAGAATTTGTGAAGAAAAAAACCACATTTATGAAAGAGTAAAATTATTTTAATTTTTATAAGTAATTTTCATATTAATCACATTTTAACCTATATTTTCTCTTTCTTTTTTAATAAAGCACATACACGTGCACCTATATAAAGCAACATATGTTTTTTATTTTATTTTTGAATAATAATATGTACATGCATATGTACATATGTATAAATATGTATGTGTTCTCTTTCGTAATTCACTAAGAATGTTATACAATGTAATTTGATCCTAATTGTATATACAATAAAATTAATTGATAGGTTAAAATATTTTATTCGTTTATTTTATGTAGTAAAATGCATTAAAAACAAAGAAGAAAATCGAATAAAGTTTCTAATTATAAAAAGTCAAAAATTATACATGTTCGTAATATTATAGAACTCTGGAATACTAGTAACATTTTTACCCTCATTCGAATGTGAAAGTTGAACATAATCGAACTTTAGTAACTAATATAAAAATTTTTCGATATTTACGAAATATCATAAGGCTCAATATTAACCGAATTACGACGGAGTGTACGAATATAAAATACATTTTTTTCCCAATTCGGAAATACTCGTATATGTATGTATTATGAACTCACAACGAACGGTACGTAGTTTTTAACCGCGACAGTATTTTTTGAAAATTTTTTTTTAACATTTTTATTCTGAATAATTTTCCAACAAAACGTATTCTTTTGTAATTTCGGAATAAAATCTACTCTGACCAAATCCAAAACAGCAAAAATTTCAAAAAGGAAAAAGCTGTATCCGAACATCAATACCGAACAATATATTTGGAACGGCAATGAATAAATTTATTCCGAAAAATTTGAATTAATAAGATTTTAGAATTAAAATAGCAAAATGAATTTTTTTTTACCTAGCAAATAATTGTATAAATAACTTATGAAAATTTAACATTAATAAGGCATTGTGAAGGCATTACAAAACTTTAATAGTAATTAGAAGAAAAAACTTTAGTAAAATGAAAATAAAGAAAAATTATACAAAAGTACACCCATGTCTTAAGGCATTTTTAGTGTTGCGTTTTCTTTAATCTTACTTTTAAACTTGTGAGTGCAATTTGTTTAAAAACTTCTTTTGTATTATTTTTATATAACAATAAAATTGAAACATCTTTTTTTTTGTTGTAATTTTACATTTTTCGTTACAAATTACAAGAGGTGATTTTTTTCTATTTTAACTTGACTAAGTAGTTTTATAAATAAAAAATTATAATGAATGAAAATTTTAAATGGAAAATTCTTAATCGATCTTAGGGAATAATTCAATTTAATTAACTATAAATTCTTTTTGACTGAATTTGTTTTGCATATCTTCTTTACTCCGAATTGTCTGGTTTCTAATTTTTTCGCCAATTTTAGATACGAATTCTGATTATGTATTCTCAATTTTAAGCTCTTGAGTGTCAATTTTTCCTTTTCTCTTTGTATTACGACTTCTTATAGCCGTAACCCAATGGTCAGAGCCCACTTCAGTGCTTCTCTATGCTCTTACATCTGTTCATTCATCTATTACTGATACATATGTGGTCGATCTGATTTTGGCTGCGCTGCTCTGGCGACGTTCATGTGTATTTATTTATAGACCTGTTCAGGCAAATGGTTCTGCCTATCACTATACTGTATTCTTGACATGTCGCAACCAGACGCTCGCCATTGTTGTTTATTGTGCGCGGGAGCGTAACACTGTATTCGGATTCTCGTGTGTATTTTTACAAATTTTATTCTGTCAGAAATCGCGTGCCACCCTATTAGACTTTTCACCTCATTTCACTTATTCCAAGAACCTCAACTCGGAAATTTAAAGTTTTTCGTGGGCTAGTCGCGATACTTCTTTTAGCATTTTTACATTCCAATTTCCAATTCTAATCCTTAATGGTCATTACCGTTTTTCGATCTGATATCCGAGGCACTGTTTATGAATTGTTAATCGAACGAAAATTCACTAAGCTAGATAGTGATTAGCCTACCGTAGCTGTCTGCATTGTAAAATCCTTTTTTTACTTTCCGTCTTGCAGCGTGACGCCGTCACTGTGTTCGACGGTTTCATTGTGTTCTCAACTCATGGTTTGTTAGGTTATGATGTACTGTCAGTCGTGACGTTTTTCACTATCAGTAGTCATATGTTGTGTGTAATATATACAATGTATTTGAAATTATATTTGCTATTTTTATATTTTTGTGGTGTTATAAAATAATCAAATATTTGGATATATAAGGTAGTATTTTGCAATTATGTTATACTATTATTCGATATTAATTTTTAGCTATATTTCACCACTGTGGTAGCTGAATATATAAACAATAACCACCCAAAATACTCGATTTTATCAGTAGAGTTGGTTTATAAGTAGTGCTTTAGACGTAAAAAATAGTTTTGAGTGAGTGCAATAGATGTGGATGTTGCAATCTAGAAGCAGAATTAAAAATTTATCGAATATTCTTATAAATTATTAAATTTTATTAAGACTTTATGTATTCAGATAGTAAACAATTAATTTAACTTGATTTCTGAAACTGACTCCAATCAATTTAAATATTGCGAAAATCAAATTAGAAAAATGAACCTGCTGGTCTTTTGTCCAGCAGGTTATTTTTCTAATTTTATTGTGTCCCTCTTTTTAAATTCATTAATTTTTAGAATAAATTTTTCAAGTTTTGAAAATTATCGGAAAATTATAGAACTGGACTAAAATATTTTCATTCCAGTTGTTTCCTCTGTGTATATTACAAATTTCACAAATTTATACAAGCAAAATATTAGTTTTTAACTTGATTAAACATTTTACACCAAAATGCATTGTAAAATTTTCATTGTATTTTCAAGTACCAAAGGATTTTTATCTTAAATTCTTTTTTTTAACAAAATATTTGTAAAAAACGGATTATAACAGAAAAATAATAGGAGAACTACAAGGATACCTGCTATAATACGAGCATAGCATCATAGCACCTATACAGATACAATCTGAAAGTAGAAAATATTCATACTTTAATTTGAAAAACACATAACCGTACAAGTATATAGAAAAATTTTAAAATTTACAAAAAGAAGTGAAAATATTTTTAAATAAAAAAATTTTTGCAAAATTTTTCTTTCTCAACAAAATTTATTGTAATTTACAACTTTTGTTTTTGTTTTGATTTTCTTGCTATTTTTTACTATTATATTGTATTTTTTGTAATTTTCAAAAGTTTTTAATTAAACTTTATTATTATTTTATTTCTTTTTCGTCTTTTTCATGCATACAGCTTTAGAATTTTCTATTGAACCGTCTGATGTTGTTGTCCCGGAAGGGCATTCTGTTTTATTACAATGTAGCGGTACAGTACAACAAGGTGCATTAAAAGAAGGTAAAACAGCACCAAATATACGATGGAGAGGACCAGATGGCCAAGATATTGGTATAGTAGGTGATACATTTAGGTAAGATTTTATTTCTATATTATATTACACCTTTAAAAGAATAAAATTTATTATGCAATTAATGTTGTATAAAATAAAGAATATTTTTTTTTTTAGAATCAAAGAACAATAACCATTTTATTTTAGAAAAAAAAGAAGGATAACATAAATAGAAAAAATTGAGGAAAAAAAGAAGTGATGGTTTATTATTAAAATTTATTAGATTAATGTCACCGTAAGACTTGACTGACTTGTTTTCTTTCAGAATTTTTTAATTATACAAAATATTTTAACATTTACATTGAAGTATAAAAATTATATTGTTGTCGTCTAATATTTTAATGAAAATTTAATTAGAAAAGTTTTCTTTTCTGACACTACAAGTGTATAACAAATTTTCTTGTAAAAGAATGTTTTTTTTTTTTGTTTTTTGTTAAGAAGATTTATATCAATTACAATTTGTTATAAAAGATGTTTTTAAAAATTTAAAATTAATTTATGTAAATATAATTATAAAATGAAAATTCTATCATGGTACTCGTATATACAAGCAAATTTGTAAGGGATATATTTAAGTCATATTAAGCAGTTTATATTTTAATTACATTATACAACACTCTTATTGAGTGAATAGATGCTATTGTTGTCAGAATACTTGCATTAATAATTAAATTAGTAGACTATATTATAAGTCGATTAATAAACATAAATATTTTATTCCTCTTACTAGAATTTAAGGATTCTTAAGTACGTGTACATTAATGAATGGAAGAAAATTTTCAAATAACTTCCAATTCCTAATCTCAATACACAAATTAAAAATATTTAATCGAATTGTGTTAATTTTCATTATTGACAAATAAAATTCAAGTCAGAAAATAAAATTCAAAATTTATTGAATTTGTTTGTGACAAAGAAACTATTAAACTAATTTAATCCGAAGAATTATTCAATTTAAAATCACAACAAATTTCATAGATAAAAATCATGAATTTATTTAATGCTATACGAAGGTCTGGAACACAAGAACAATGAATTTTACAATGTGACAATCACAAATTCAATAGAAAATAATTGTTGCAATATTTTGCAATTATCTATTAAAAATAGAAAATTTAAATTTAATTTCAAATCGATTTTGATATTATTTAAACATATGCGACTTATTCACAAAATTTTCTCACGTTTTTACTATTTTGCTAGTAGGTATAGCATTAAAATTTCAAATAGAAAATTTTTAGAATATTTTCATTTATTTTCAATCGAATTTTCACTTTCATTTATTATTCTGTTTTTTTTTTTTTCTTATTTCAGAACACAATTGAAAAATGGTTCTCTTTATATTAGTTCAGTTGAAGAGAATCGTGGTTTAACTGGTGCCTATCAATGTTTATTAAGTGTAGATGGTATTGGAACAATAGTTAGTCGTTCAGCAATTGTATCAATAGCTAGATTACCAGATTTAAATCAAGATTTCATTGAATTATATTTATTACCTGGTCAAACAGCATATTTTCGTTGTATGATTGGACAAATGCAATCAGGTGTACAATATAATATACAATGGTTAAAAGATGAACAACCATTACAAATGGATAAAATTCGTATGATTATAATGCCAAATGGTGCATTAGAAATTGATGAAATAACAAATTCTGATCGTGGTATCTATCAATGTAATGTTACATTTGGTAATATATCTAAATTAAGTAGTAAAACAAATTTAAATATAAAAAAATCAGCATCAAATAATGTTATAAATAATAATGATGGTATCGGAACAATAAATATAACAAATAATAATATAAATGATGGCAATATTCCAGCTATATCAAATAATATTAATGAAAATGTTCAAGCGCCATCATTTTTAGTTGGACCATCACCACAAACTGTTAAAGAAGGTGATATTGTAACATTAAATTGTGTTGCAAATGGTATACCAAAACCACAAATGCGTTGGTTACGTAATGGTGAAGAAATTGATTTAAAGTAAGTTATGAATTAAATTTAAATCTTCATTGAACTTATTTTCAAAAAATTTTTTTTTAAATTTTAGCGATTTAGATTCAAGATTTTCAATAATTGGTTCTGGTTCATTACAAATATCATCAGCTGAAGATATTGATTCTGGTAATTATCAATGTCGTTCAAGTAATTCTGTTGATTCATTAGATGCTGAAGCAACTGTTCAAGTGCAAGTACCACCAAAATTTGTACAAAATCCAACCGATAAAATTGCATTTGAAAAAGAAGAATTAGAATTTGAATGTTCGATACGTGGTAAACCGAAACCTGTTATTAAATGGTTAAAAAATGGTGATATAATTACACCAAATGAATATATGCAAATTGTTGGAGGGTAAGTATTACATATTTAAAATTTGATTTGCTTTGAATTTCGGACAATAATTGTTATCATATTTCTTATATTGTTTATTTTGCAGTCATAATTTAAAAATTCTTGGTCTTTTAAAATCTGATGCTGGTATGTTTCAATGTGTTGGTAGTAATCCAGCTGGTAGTATTCAAGCTTCAGCACAATTAAAAATTACACAACCGGGTAAGTTATTATATGAAGGGTTTAATTTGTTTTTTTTTTTTTCAAAAAATTTATTAATTACTAATATTAAAAATTAATAATTTCAAAATTTCAATTCGCACATTATATTTTCAAAATTTTAACATTTAAATAAAAAAAAATATGAAAGCTTCTTGGTGCTGGTTAATATAGTATAAACAAAAATCATTAGAATCTGTAAGCTTCAAATTTTGGACTTAATATTGGCTAAATTCTCGTATACTCATTCATTGATAACACAATTTTGGACTTTAATTTTGTAATTTTATTAGAATTAATTTTATTATTTATTCAAATTTTCTTATGTTTTGTTGTGGTTTTTTAATTTATTAAAATTAAGTAATATAAGCTATTTTAAAAAATTTAAGAAATTCATCGCAATTTTCACGGAAAAGGTACATATATGACATACGAAAACAAGTTTGCCTGGAACACAAAATTATTTGAAAAATATTGGAAATACGAAAATTTTTTTTGTTTCAAGCTTATTTTTTTTGAAAAATGTAGGATACAATCTGTCTGAATTGTCTAGATCACAATTTTTTCAAAAAATATTATAAATATGACAATTTTTTAAAATAAGTAAATCTTGCTGAAGACAATTGAAATGTTCAAGTCTGAAATGTAACACCACATGCTCATTCTATTCAACAATATTCTATGTCGAGAATTTGTTGCAAGCAATTTCTAGCATTTTGTAAATCATAAAATTTAATTGTGAATTCTACTCTAATTCAACATATTTTTGGCAAACTAAATTTTTTTTAAAATAGCTTTCCGAAATTCTACTCTAACAGTAGTTCTATAAAATATTTATCTATTTTTTTTTACTTTCTTAATACAAACGCATTATTTTGTAGTTTTTCATTTCTGAATTTGATTCTTAATTTTTCGATTTAATATTAATTTTTTTTTATTTTCTATATATTAAGTTTTTTCCTTCTTTTTTTTTTAATTTTTTCTTATCTTCTTGATTTATATATTTTTTTTTTATTTTAATCAAATTCCCATTCATATCCTTTGATAAAAAAAAAAAACTATCAACGCCAAAAAAAATTTAGGAAAACATAAAAAACAATCACAAACAACAAAATCACTTCAAACACCATCCATAAATAATACAAATAAAAAAGGTGTATTTAAATCTGGTGACACATTAACACAACGTTCAAAATCTATTGCCGATAATAAAGTAATTTCAAAGAGTGCTCTTGATAGTCTTCTGTCAAAAGATAAAAAAAAAATCATTGATTTTTCATCAACTGGTAATGAAAGTATTGAAAAAATAAAAAATATGAAAAATAATAATAAAAATATAAAAGACAATACAGAGACATACGATGATTATGACTATTATGATGACTTATCAGACGATAACGATGACAATGACAATAATAAAAATTTTGACAATTTAAATGTCAAAAATAAAAAACATAATAATAATAAAGATTATGACAAAAATGACACATTTCATATACCAATTGATATTGATGATGAAGACGATGAAGATACAAATGATAATACAAAGAATAATAATAATAATGATACAAATATTGATAATGATGATGATATTGATGACGATGATGATGATAATGATGATGACGATGATGATGATGATGATGATGATGAAGAATATATTGTTAAATTTGAAAAAGGTGATGATCCAGAGAAAATTTTAAATTCATTTAATGATAAAAAATTTAAATTAAAAAAACATCATCAAGAGCATGAAAATGAAAAAAAAATTCATTCAAAAACAACAAAATTAATAAATGATCCTATAATATCCCAACATCAAGAAGTGAATTCATATGATGACGATGATGACGATAACGATGACGATAATGACGACGATATTGATAATGATGATGATAATGATAATTTTGATTCTTTATTACCAAATATTACAAAAAAATATCATTCAAATTTAGATGCAAATCAATTGGCAAGTGTACCATTACCAGGACCACCAAGAGATTTATTAGCACAAATTGTTAAACCAAGATTTGTAGCACTCAGTTGGATGGAACCATTAAAGAATCCTGATGAAGTAATATCATATTCAGTTTATTATAAAATGCATACAAGTGAAAGGTAAATTTTCTAAAAAATTTTATTTTTCTTTTCTTTTTCGGACTTGTCCACAAAAATATATTTTATATCCTCTTTCATAAAATATTTCAAATACAATAGAAACTGTAATATTGGTTTTCTGGTTTTATTTTTTTTAATCATAACGTATACATGGACAAAACCTTAATTGTTAAATCCTGCAATGACAATTATATTGAAAATTTTTTATTTATTCGTTGCATTTAAAGTTTCCTGGCTATTTGTCTGTTTTAATGTTTGAGAAAAATACAACAAATATAGGAGCAAATTTTAATTTATGTCTGTTTATTCAAATGAATTAATCTTGTGCATTAGAAACTTTAGAATATCGCTAGGATTTCTTAAAAACCCATAATTCATTCAAAAGTTTTTTTGAAATATTTGTATTGGCCTATAAAAGAGTAAACAAAATAAAATAGGGGATTCATTTTATAATTAGAAATTTAGTAAAAATTTACAAAATCTATTCGGAATAAATGATGCTGCTTGGTACGTCAAACATAGCTTTTATGAAGTTTGTGAAAGACCTATCTAAACAGACACTAAAGACAAAATTATTCTCGCCCTACACTTAAGTTCTTATTTTAGAAATTTATAACTCTTATTAATTAGATTATTAAAAATTAAATATATTACAGTTGAAAACTCCATTTTTAAAAAATTTCCAAAAAATATTACACAATCCTTAATTAATGTGTTCTCTATTGAAATTTTTGTACAATTCAATTCGTTGTGCACATATAGAGAGGCTTACAAAAATTTCTGAATAATATGCATAATTCTACAATTTTAAAACTCAAATGTAACGCTACAGAACAAAAATATGTAAAAGTGAGTGTTTGTAATTTACATAATGTTTTTATCATCACAAAAATATGTTTTAATGCTTTCAGTACATAAAAATTCATTTAAGTAGAAGCATATGTACATAAAATGCTTATATTTTTCGAAATTATTTATGAAATAAAAAAAATTCCTACTTTTCCATTGAGATTTTTCATTTTTAATTCTTAACTCAACATAAAAATTTAAAATTGGTTGACCATTTTTTGTTTTTTCACATTTTCATCTACATAATATTGTGTGTGCTTAAGCATATCCTATAGAAATTTAATTATTTCAATTGTATTCCTTTAATATATGTATGTATACAACTGCATATTATGTACAATTTGTAGACAAATATATGCACAAGAAAACACTTACTTTTTTTACGGTTAATGCTCATTCATTTCGTATATCAAATTTAATTCTGGATATTCGATTCACCTGTGTATACAGAAACACATACAAAAAAAAAATTTACATAATATGTACTTGTATTTCAATTGTAATTTTAATTGCATTCTTTTCGGTGGCAAATAGATTATGATAAAAACTTAAATTCCCTTTAAAATTCAAATTTTTATACAAACACACTTTAAGTATACACATACGTTTAGAAAATTAGAAATTCGAATTTTATTTATAAAATTTATTTACAATTTTCCAAGGATATAAAACGGAATTTTCTATTTATAATACCCATTTCGTATAATGGGTATAGGATTATAAAACAATTATGCTAACATAAATTATCAAGATAACACGCAATGAATTTGTTTTAGAATAATGAGGGCAATTATCGCAATGCCAACTTTAATATAAATTTTCAACTACCTATACCTACCTATTCTCTTACCTATACCAATAATAAACGAAAATTTAAATTTTACAATTTTAATCACAAAATAATGCCAATTTTTAACATCCAAATTATAGCTCTTGTGCCCTATTTTAAAGAGTTTTGACTGTACGCAATGAGCACAATGCGTTATTGAAATCTCAAATTTTATACATGAAAACAGATCTATTGAGTGTTTCCCATTTAAAATATCGTACAATTTATTATCACACAATATTTTCTATATATTTTTGTAATCACCATTAGAGCCTTTGTTATATACGACTTTAAGGTTTAGTATTATGTCCCTTGAACCTTTTAAAAATCTAAAAATTATTTAAATTAATTATTTTCAATTCAAGAAGACTATAGCACCGATCCTACCATTAATTTTGCTATTTTAATAATAAAATAGATTGAAAATTTTCAATATAATTTCATTCAAATAAACAAGATTGTTACATTTTTTACATTTACAAAGATCCTTTCAAATGCACTTGTATTTTACAGACATGCATTTCATAATGCATGCATACAATTCTGAATTGCAATAAAAAATTACAATTTGTTTATTAATATTTCGCATTTATATGTTCTCATAAATTATTGGGTTGGAAATTTTTTGTGGTATAATTTTTATAATTGAAAGAAAGAAAATAAAAACAGGTATTATTTATTTTCCATAACTACATATATAAGTAGATACACTTACATTTACATGCATATTATTTAATATTCAATACAATAGAAAAGGCGTCCTTTACAGCAAATTCTAATAATCCTTTAATAATACAACAACAATACATTATTTTATAAGTTCCTATATATACATACTTATAATTAAACAGGAATCAAACACACAAATATAGTATAGGTGTATACAAAGTGTTGAATATCCTTTGGGGGAAAAAACAATTTGTTGAATTGTAGAAAGTAATTCTTCATAAGAAAAGAAATTTTTGTTTTATAATCCTGATTTTTTCTTTCTTGAATTTATAAGAATTTCAAGATTATTAACATTAAGTATGACATAATCACAGTAATTTAAATTTAAAGAAAACGTAAAAAAACAAAGAGATTACAAAAAAATATTTTTTTTTTAATATTCTTAAAATTACACACAAAAACTAGGTCAAAACTCTTATACTGAGCTGTCATATAAAATATTAAAAAATTTTTAGCTTATAATTTTGATTAAAGGAAATTTGAGTAAAAATTTCCTTTTTTTTTTTAAAAATTTACTCTGAAAACCAAAATTAAATATTAATGACATTTTAAATTTTTTTTTTTCATTATAAAAAGTAAGTGATTTTTTATTTAAAAGCATAATGCTTGTGAATTAAATATCATTTTGAATGTATAAAAAGTAATTTTTTATATTCTTAATATTTAAAATATTTAATATCGAAAATAATTATTATATCCCAAAATATACGAGGGCTATATGGCCTAGATCTATATGAAAATAGTACAGTATTAAAGAAACATCGAAAAGCTGAAAGACATTCGATTCTAACAGGATATTCGAATATTTTTAGCTTTCGAAATATTTTAGTTTCAATTTAGAAACAACATCGCATTCGCACAGTTAATGCTCCACCGTTTCACCAATTTCCGAAAATAAATTTGCAATTTCATACCTTCTTCTTTGCCCATTCTTTTAAATATAGCCATTTTTTTCATAGGGGAGAGGCAATGATCAATGAGTACACCAATAAATAGTCTTAACCAAAATGTTGCCATATTATGAAAAATTTTATTATTTAGTGAATAATAAATTTATTGAGTAACAGCTTGTATAATTTCGAGAATTAATTTTTTTAACATAAAAAATATTTTATTCTTTCTAGATTTTGAAAAAAAAAAAAAAAACAATCTGTAAGCCCATAGTTGATTTCAAACTTTATTAAAAAAGAGTAAATGAATTATTTAGTAAAAATAATTTCAATATCTTCTAAAATTTCTTAAAATCTTGAATTTTTCAATTCAATTTTTCAATTTCAATTTGATTTTAAAAACATACAAATAACAATATTTAAATTGTTTTGTTAAATTATTAAATATTAAATTTAACTACATTATTTATTAAAGTTTAAATATATTAAAAATATGTATTATAAATTTTGTATTAAATTTAATTTTTATATCGTATTACATTAGAACCCTACGCCTTCTTAAACAAAAAAAAACAAAAAACTCAAAGTAATCGAAATACTTTTGAAATTCAAACTTTTATTTTATTCACAAACCATTCCTCAATACACAAACACATAATATTCATCTCTATATTATATATATATAATAACATTAATAACATAACACATAATACGAATGTAAACCTATATATGTATGAGTAACTTTCCAAATGAAAATCAACACCTTTAAAAATGTTGTTTTTTTATAAAATATTTAAAAAGTAAAATGTTTTAAAAATATAAAAATTCAACACCCTTCACCTCACTTTTAGAAGAATATTTTTATACGTAACGTATGTATATAATATGTACTGTATATATAGATTTGGTTATACTCGTAATTACTTAAGTACAACTAGGGTTTGGCCTATTTATGTACATATATCGAAATATCGAACATCGATAAATTTCCGAGCATAAAATATTGAGAAAATGTCAATATTATTGCAATGTTATTTTTAGAATGACATCGAAATTTGGAAAATTTTTTGTTTGTATAACAAAAATGTGGTTTGAAAAAGCGCTCTACATACATAACATTTATACACTCTGATCATAACTTAAATCAAAATTTCTTTATCCCTCTTATGTGTGTGTTGCACAAATCAGATGAATCTGATTTTTAATCGATGTCTGACATATCAGATTGACTCTAGTGAGAAAAATAAAAAACTATCATTTAATTACTTTATAATGTAATTAGATTTTTTGGGACAAATTTTGGGAATCCATTTTATAGTAGAAATCAATTTGTTAAAAATTTTTTTTCTAATTACCGACACATCTTATGTCATTCAAATATTTTGAAATAATTTTGCTTCCAATGTTAAATGTACGATTTTATCTATTATAACATTATCAATTAATTATCAAAATTACAATAAGTTGGTATATGAATACTTCATTTACCGTTGTTGTTACCGTGAATACTTCAACTGTTGTTGCCGTACGATACATGTAATACAACTAATAATATTTTAATATTGTCGTTTTATATATTTTTTTATCCGATGTTCCAACCCTAACTACACCTACTTACTTAAAGAAAAAAAATAATAATTCTGAAAAAAAAACTTTGATTTCCTTTAAAAAAAAAAAAATTTTTATGTTTACGCATTTTTTTTTTTTTTTTTTTTGTAATATAAATTTATAACTTGTCTTCATCAGAATTTTTTTAACAAAAAACAAAAAAATAAAATTCTACTTATTTCTGGAAGCGATTATTTTTACAAAAACAAGTACTTTTGTAAATACAAAATAAAATCATAAAAAAAAATGAAAAAAATAAATGCTAATAAAATCAAAGTAATGAAAAACTATTTGTTTCAATATAAAAGTTAACTTAACTTGTTTACGGCACAGTTCAACAATAAACCTATATAAAAGAAAACCTATAAGGCAAAAAAAAAAAAAATAATTTCATTCACGTTTCAAATTCGTAATAATATCAAAAATGTAAAAATATATTAGCGTATATTTTATTACATGTAATTTAAGGTTGCCAACAGAACAAATAAAATATGGTTTTTGGATAGGTGCACGAAATTGTTATAATATTGGGGTATAGTTTTAGTAAGAATAGCTAGTTCAATTGTGTAACGAGCATTTTCCGTGCATATGTAAACAGTAACCCGATAATATTAATTAAATTAAAATTTTGTACATAAATCTGATTAGAAACCATCTTGGAAAAATTTAATTAAACTTTAACGCAAAAAGATCAAACTGCAATTGAACTGTTATACTTAGAGTACTTATGTATATACATAGTAATTAAGCTAACAAAATACAAGTTGAAATTTTTTAAAATTAATGACACAATATGAGCCAAACAATAAAACCTCGACGCAAAAATATTGCATGATTTGCCTCATATTAAAAAAAAAAACAAATTACTGCAAAATTTTTAATTAATTACAATATTTTTTATAGTTTCGTTTTCAATATAACATAACATTACGCCATCTGTTGAATAAAATTTAAAAAAATAAATAAATTAAATTCTTTTAAATTACAATAAAATTATTTAATTTGGAATCTCTTGTAAAGAACAAAAAAATTTTTTTTTTTTTAATCTATATACATTCAAGCACGTCTTATTATCGTTACTTTATTTCAATACACACGTACACACATTAAAGTGAATGTATGTATGTATTTGACAGAACTTATAATACGTTTATACCATATACGTAATATTCACTTTAAATTTTTTTTTTTTTAATAATAATAAGTAATGTTCACAATAGTACATATTATATAATATATGTATATTATTACATATTAAATAAAGAATAATGGAACATGATATAACATATTCGTATATATATATATGTATATATAATATATATATATAATAATGTGTATGATTTAAACGTGACTATGACAACATCCTTTCTTAAAAATAAGACACATGCTATTCATTTATTGTTTACATTGTGCATATACTTTCATGGAAGGAACATTGTAAAAAAATATCGATGTTCTTAAAGATTATATTATAAAATACATGTAGCGTACGTATATACGAATATCTATAGAAAAAAAAAATATGGAACATGAACACACACTACACATTATATATATTTGTCTGTCACCATGACTAATGGGATGCAACACCTTTACTATTGGTGTAGCTTACTTAGTTTATGCAATGTAAAATTAATGGGCAACAGGGTATATATTTAATTATTTTATAAATTTCATGTTAATGTCCGTAGTGTGTTTTTGGGCATCTCGTTTGTTCACGGAACAAATGCACACACACACACATGTATAAAAGTCAAGTTAAAATAAAATAGTAATCAAAATTTCTTGCCTTATTCTTGCGAGCCCCTTCATTGCCTTATTACTTTCAGCTCCTTTTTATTTCGTCAATTGTATTTTTTCATTAGGTTATGCTGACGCGACTCCCCCGAGCGGTACATTAAAACATCATAAGCCCGTTGTAATAAATGCAATTTAAATCAGTGTGCATTCAATTTTAAATGTTAAAGCGGTGCTTACAAAATTTGTTTTATATAATGCATACAATATTATCTTATCAAATTTTATAACCAAAAATTCACAATAGTTATATTTATATTATAGAATATTGAGAATATTTTCTAATACTTCATACATTTCTCTTATATTCTCTCTCAAATTCTTCAATTCTCTTACTTCAAAATTTGATTACAAACGACTTCTCTTTTTTCTTAGACATCAAACTTTTTAAATTTAATCAAACCCATCCAGTACCGCCCTATTAGTATATTAACCATATAATATACATATATGTATGTATATGATATGCAACATCATATATTTAATAATAATTCGAACATATAACAGCAATAAATTAAAAAAATATAAAAGAAAGAAAAATAAATATACATAACAAAATTTTACACTTTATTTAATAAAAATGGTATCCTTTTTATATATATATATTTTCTATTCTGTTTTCTTCTTGTTTTTCATCCTGTGTACATCCTTTTTAAACTACCAAAAACATTTGTATGCATACGCCACTACATCACCTCTATAGTGTTATACATAACGTAAATATAAACAAAAAAAAATATAATAATAATGTTTTTGTTATTTATCAAAATTTAAAGTTTTCTGTTATACTGTTATACATTATAATGTTTATATAAAAATATTTTTCACTTATTTTTCTTTACAAAAGGAAAGAATAATAATTCCCTTGAGTGAAATAAAAATTTTCTCCTTTATAAAATATAATATTAGGAATTTAACGGTATATTTTTAGAATTGAAAATCATTTCCGAAAAGATTTTTCATTTTCAAAAATATTTTCATTTGTTCTTTTCCTTGTTTTATAATGTTTTTTAGAGTCAAGTGAAGAAACAGTAATAAAATCGACCAAAATTGAAACAATGAAAATGAAAAATATTAAGAAAATCGAAAAATATGACGACGACAACGAAAAAAAAAAAATTAAGTGGAAAATAATCCTCGCACGTACCTACACATGGAAAAAATATAGAAAAAATATAGGAAAAAATTTTTCGTCTGGAAAAGAAAACTAAATAATAACAACAATAATCAAATAATTCACAAAATTTACAAAACAAAAACTTATAAGAACATTTTAAGTACCTTTTTGATTATTATACAAACAAAACGCTGTTGTTTTGTTAAAAAAATTGTCCGGAGGTATAACTGTATAACTGTTGTCGTTGACTCCTTAGAAAAGTTATTTTCTCATAACTCTTATTTATAAGATATTTGATATCTTCCATTTATGTACACTACAGCTAGAAATACATTAGCATGTTTGAGTACGTACTTTACATAAATTATGCTTAAATTCAACTTCTTGCGGAAAAAAGCATAATAAAATATCAGGAAGCAATAAAATAAAAGTAAAAAGGATTATAAATGATAACTTTTTTTAAAAATACAAAATAATTAATGAAAATTTAATTATAAGAGAAAAACCAGAATTCCAATATAATATTCCAGAAATATTCCAATAATATTGCAGAATTAATATTAGAATTATTTTGTATACTTAACAATTTAAGAATTAAAAAGCTTCATTTGCTTTAAAAGTTGAAAATTTTTTGTAGAAGCGGAAAATGGTTATTAATATTTTTTTATAAATAATGCAAGCAACACTTGAATTACTAAAATTTGTAATTCTTATATATGTACATGTTATTTAAATTTAGAATAAAATTGGATTTCTGTTTTATGTAAATGAAGCTTGTTAATTCTTAAATTGTTAATTATACAAAATAATTCTAATATCAAATCTAGAATATGTAGTTTATTATTCGAAACATCAGATAAAAGTCAAATTTTTCATTTGATTCTTGTCTATGCTAATAAATTTCATATAAATTAATTTTGTTCAAAATTTTTACATAAATTATTTCAATTTGCCTATTCTGTTACATAAGGTATTGGTATACATAAATTAAGAATGCCCTGAATATCATTCATCTATAATGGCTTATATTTAAAAAATAATCGACTTGTATATTAGTTGAAAATTAATTTTCACTTATTATACACTAATGAATTAATCAAGGACTAATAAAATTTTCGGCACTGCATGACAACATTTTTTAAAATTTAGAAATTAACGAGAAAGAATAGAGTTGATCGTATCAAATCTGTGATACCCGTATGAACTTGTTATCCTATGTGCGAATAATTATGCCATATACCGCAATCATATCTAATTTAAATATAGGGTTCTGGCATTTACTATAATAAATCATTTATGAAAATTTGTTGAACTTAGCTCAATTATTTTTTAAGTTATCGTTGGAACGGACAAACGGACGGACGGATAGACAAATCTAAATCGACTCAGAATTTGACGCTAATCAGAAGCGTACACTCTTGTAATTGTAAGGCAAATTTAGTATATCCTTCGAATATACGTTCGTACGGGTATAAAAACGATTAAAATTTTAGTTCGCTCCTGTTATTTTAGAATAGAAGAAGGTTGTACTCTTGTTGTAACTTCCCTTCCACATTTTGGAACATGCTTATTTACTTTCGTCAATCTTCAATTAAATCGTTTTTAATAAATTTTACATAATACAGAAGGCTAAAGTAAAATTTCATAATTCTAATATATTCAAAAGGAGAATTTCATTATACTCCAAAGAACGGGCATCAAAATTAAATTTTTTTTAATTAAATTCCCTTATTAAATTTATTAAAATCAAAACTGACTTCCATTAAATGTTATACCTTTTCTATTTCTTCAAATTTCTATATTAAATTATTTCTAATAAAATCAAGAAATAAATTCTATTATCATATAAATATGCACAAAATAAGATTATTTTCACATATCCATAATTTTCCCCCAAAAAAAAAAATATATATAATGTGTTTATGGATTTTTCTTTTTATATACTTACCTACACACACAAACATCATTATAATAGAGAACGGAAAATTCAAACAAAATCTCGTGATGATCAACAAGTTAATATACAATCTTTATTACCTGGAAAAACATATCAATTTCGTGTTGTTGGTAACAGTAACCATGGCCAAGGAGAATCATCTGAGGTAATTTTTTTATTATTATTAATATTATTATTATTATTATTGTTGTTATTAAAGAAAATAATATAAAAGAAAAATAACATCTACTGTACCATAAAAAATTTTCTTCAATAATTTTCATTCCATTTTTTTTTTTGTTTTTTTGCTTATTACTTATTTTTCATATTTATTATATAATAGGTTTTAGAAGTAAGTACACAACCAGAAGAAAATATTGCAGGACCACCACAAAATGTTGAAGGATACGCACTTAGCCATAAAGAAATTTTATTGAAATGGCAGCCACCAACCGTGACTAATGGAATTATATCAAAATATCGTATATATTATGCAGAGGTGAGAAAAATTATATTATTTTTGCTAGGATACCTTCAAAATAGAACTGCTTTTATTCATTTTTTGTTTTTGTCTTTTTATATTCTAATATGAAATTAAATACTTTTATACAATAACCAAAATTTATTTAAAAAAAAAATATTTTATAATATTAAAATTCTGTTATTTTAGGATGAAAGTGGTGCTGAAATGTATGCTGACAGTACAACATTAACAACAACTTTAAGTGAATTGAGACCATATACTGAGTATACCATAACAGTTGTTCCATTTAATCAAAATGGTATGGGTGATAGTTCAAATGAAATTAAAGTTAAAACATTTTCATCGACACCATCTGAACCACCAAGTAATGTAACTTTAGAAGTTACCAGTTCAACGGTAAGTATAACAATATACTAAAAATTAAATTACTAGCCTATTGCAAAAAAAAATAAATGCAAATTATTATCTTTTCAAGTCTATAACAATACATTGGGAACCACCGCCAATTGAAGATCGTAACGGTCAAATAAATGGTTATAAAATACGTTATCGAAAATTAAAAGAAGCACCACAAGTTAAAACTACTGCCGCCAATATACGACATTATGAATTAAATAATTTAGATCGTTTCTCTGAATATCAAGTAAAAATTGCTGCAATGACTGTTAATGGTTCTGGTCCATTTACAGAATGGCATCGTGTTGTTACATTAGAAAATGATTTAGATGAAACTCAAGTACCAGGTAAACCAAGATGGATTTCAATAAGACCAGGTGCTGGAAAAATTGCATTACATTGGGCACCACCAGCTCAACAAGATATTAAAATTCGTAGTTATATATTAGGTTGGGGAAAAGGAATTCCCGATGAGAATACAATTGAATTAAAAGAAAGTGATCGTTATTATGAAATTAAAGATTTAGATATTAATAGTGAATATGTAATATCATTAAGAGCTAGAAATATTAAAGGTGATGGTCCACCAATATATGATAATGTTAAAACACGTGAAGAAGAACCATTAGATATACCGGCACCATTAGAAGTTCCAGTTGGTTTAAGAGCAATTACAATGTCTTCATCATCAATAGTTGTTTATTGGATTGATACAACATTAAGTAAAAGTCAACATGTAATTGATAATCGTCATTATAGTGTACGTTATTCAACTGTTGGTTCAAATCGATATCGTTATCATAATACAACTGATTTAAATTGTATGATTACTGATCTGAAACCAAATACTCAATATGAATTTGCTGTTAAAGTTGTAAAAGGAAGACGTGAATCAGCTTGGTCAATGTCAGTTTTAAATTCAACTTTACCAAATGTTCCATTATCACCACCAAGAGATTTAGTTGTACGTGTTGATGAATATAATCCACAAAATGTATTATTACAATGGCAACCACCAAAACATATTATTGGACAAGTTACTGGTTATTCAGTTTTTTATACAACCGATATAAATAAAAGAGATCGTGATTGGCAAATTGAACAAGTGATTGGTGATACAAACACTGCCGTTATCAAAGGACTTAAACCATATACAACGTATTATTTTAAGATAATGACAAAAACTGCTAAAGGAAATACACCATTTTCCGCACTTATTTCATATACAACAGGCCCAGCTGTTTTAATTCAAGAAACAAATATTTTATCAAAAGGATTTGATAATCAAATGATTTTATATACAATAATTGGAGTTACTGCTGTTCTACTTTTTATTGCATTAGCAGTAATTGTTTTGGTTTGTAATAAAAAGCCTCCAGTTTCACCAGAGCATAATAAGAAAAGGTAACAATTAATTATTTCTTTCAAAATGAATTCTTACCAATATTTCTATTAATTTTAGCTATCAAAAAAATAATATTGGAGCACCAAAACCTCCAGATCTATGGATTCATCATGAACAAATGGAATTAAAAAATATTGATAAATCCCACCATACTCCAGGTTTGTAGTCTTTTCTACGGCTTTTTTTTTTCTTTTTTGATTTTGTAATGCACTAGTTTAATATATTTTGTTAAATATTTTATTTAATTTTCGATGCTTTTTTTTTGTCGCACATATTAACTGTTAAAAAATTATTTTTTAATTTCTGAATTCAGAAATTATTACAGGATGTAGTGATGGTGCAAGTAGCAGTGGTGCAATGACTTTACCACGTTCTGCAATACATGAATATGATAGTGAATCAAATGGTGGTCCAGCACATGTTACAAATTCTTTAGATAAACGAGCATATGTCCCAGGTTATATGAGTTAGTATTCTATCTAAAATTGAAAATTAATTTTTTTTTTTTTGAAAAATTCTCTAATAAATATATTTTATTGAATATTTACAGCAACTTCAATGAATTCAACTATGGAAAGACCCCAATATCCGAGAACACAATATAATGTTTCAACACGATCTCATATGAATGTTGACACAACATTATCACAACAAAGTTTGTCTGCACCACAAAATAATTCATTAGCCCAAACACCGGAACATCCATATAACGCTTACGAGCAAATGCCAAATTACACGTAAGTAATCAAAATCTAGTAATGAATCACTAAACAGTTTATAATATTAATGCGAAACAAATATTGCATATACGAAGCAGACGGATGACTACTCTGTTAGCATATTTTTTTCATTTTACAACTACATACATAATTTTTATTTTTATTCCGTTTCCATTAAACAATTAAATTCGTATATTGCAATACGCAAAAAAAAGATCTTGCAAAATTTTGTTAGTAATTACAAAAGAGAAAGTTTATGTTAGGCGTAAATAGCAATAAGTTTAATGATTTAAATTATCAAAAACCTAATTGCAAACAAGTTCTCCAATTAGCCGTGATCGTCTAGTGGTTAGGACCCTACGTTGTGGCCGTAGTAACCCAGGTTCGAATCCTGGTCACGGCAATGCCCTGTAACAGGTCATTGTCATGGATGGAGGACGCATTCTATTTTTTTTATTAATCGGATTTAAAAAAAAATTGCATTAATTCTTTTTTCCAAAATGTTCATTCCAGAAATCCAAATACACCGTATATACCACCGGGAATGAATATGGATAGTTCAAAAAGTAGAGGTCATCCATTAAAAAGCTTTAGTGTACCAGGTCCACCACCGTTAAATGTTTCTACACCAGTAATATCGAGTGGTTCTGGAAAACATGGTTTGTTCTTTATAAGAAATTACATACATATATATAAATATCAATATTTAAAATTTACAAAATTATTTTTTTTTTTTTAATGTTATAGTACCAGCTGTAACAATACGTCCACAAAATACGACATCACCATATAAAAAACCAACATTTACAAATTCAACACCAACGAATCGATTACAAAGTGGTCCATCAGTAGCACATTCAACAGATGAAATACAGAGACTTCAACCCAGTACATCAACTGAGGAACTTAATCAAGAAATGGCTAATTTAGAAGGTTTAATGAAAGATTTGAGTGCGATAACTGCCAGTGAATTTGAATGTTAACAGTTTATTTAGTTAAATAATAATAAATTATGTATTTTTATTTTTTAAAATTTTTAATTTAATATTAATTTAAGGCAAAAGCTAACAATATAATAATAAATATATTTTTTTGAAAAGTTAAAATAAATAAACAAAAAAGTAAAATAATATTAAATTATATTTAAGTATTTAGATTTTAAGAATAACCAATTTTGAATAAGTAGTGTGCGTTATTGTGAAACCTGCCATAGTGAGATTTTAATTTTTATTTTTTAATTTTTTTCAAAATTTACTTAAAAATTATAAATTATAAAGAAGAATAGCAGATAATAGTAGATAAATTGTATTATGTATAGCTATCAAAGCTAAAATTTTAATTTTTTTTTAATTTAAAAATTTGTACGTGATAATCAGTAAATATTTATTTTAATAATAATTTTATTGAATTCTAAATTTTGAAATAATTTATTCAATTATAACTTTAAATATATTATAATTATTTTTCAAATAATGCAACCAATAACAGTAACCGACCAAATTACTTGTCTGACTGCTTTACAAAACAGAAAATAATAAATTAATTAAAAGATATTACTCTTTAAATTTAATAACAAAAAAAAATATTTTTTTTTAATAAAGATTGAAAAGTTTCCTTTCTTCTTTAAAGAATTGAACGGTTTCATAAAAAAATTTGACTTCGGAAAAATTATCGCGTCATTTAATTATTAATTTACATTTTTACTTAACATTTATCTGCTATGTAATATTTTTGATAAAATAAATTTAATTCTAGTTGATTAAAATAATAATTTTTTTTAAATTTGTTTTTCAATATTACATTTCAAGCATTGTTGAAATTCTTCTAATTTAAATAAAATAATAATTTATGTATTTTCTAGATAATTTTTTTTCTATTTTGTATATATTAGATAAATATAAATATTATTTATATTGATTTATTTTAGTATTAATTTAGTTAATATAATAAGTAAAAAAAAAAAATCAATATAATGACAAAATAAATTAAATTATAAAGGAATAATTGATAATTTTCATAAATTGGTAATAAACATGGAATACATTAAAAACATTTAATTTTTTTGTATTAAGCTCTTCTTAAATATTTTAAAATAATTTGTTATTTATATAAATAACAAAATATACACCCATTTTATGTTTGTCGGATCACTTGAGATGATGAGATATTATTGAAAATATTTTGGTTTCCAGTATAGAAGAATTTCAAATTTTAAAACCAATTTTATTCAGAAAATTACAATATTTTTAAAAAACAATGATCAAGTGATACAACTAACAAAATATAGGTGTTATTTTATATGTTAAAAGTGTTATTCTTTGCTTTTCAATGTATTACAAAATGATTAACAATTTAATTGAAATTGTTTGTATTTATTTTGATAAAAATAATTAATATATTTAATATTCATATACGAACACTATTATCTCCTTATTTATTTTAAGGATAATCTGTTTTCTAAAACAAAAACATTATAGGCTTTTTCATAAACGTAGCATATCGTGATATATAGCGAAAACTTCACTATATTTGTGTTCATAAACAAATCTTGGTAACCAAGCCTGTTCGTTCATAAACATTGTTAACCTATAACAAAAATATTTACATTATCATGGCGCTAGTGCAGTTAAATCAGCTGTACTTTTTTTTTTTACTAGTTTTTGCAGTTCTTTTTAGGAATTCGTCTGTTAATTATACTTAAAAATAAAAAAATTTCTTTTTGTTTCTGTTTTCTTTTTTTGTTTTTCTTAATTTATATTTTCCCTGAAATAGAATTTTCCACTATTTGGTTCAAAATAAATAAATTGTAAATTGCAAATTCAAAATAGTAAATATTTTTATACAACTGTTAAAAATATATTGTGTATGTGTCACATTATCGTTTTGCAGTATTGTGTTTATGAAAATGCCTAATATAAGATTACATATATTAAAAAAAAAATAATTATTAATTTTTCCTTAATAATTAAAAAATTTTGTGATTTCATATCGTAATTTACTTCAAGACTTGATTAATTTTTAAAATTTTAAATTTTATTTTCATTTATTGCAATAAGACCAATATATTTTGTGAAAATAATATTATGATTTATAAAAGAAAATAATTTTAAAGTAATAAAATATATTTTAAAAATTAAAAATTATATGCCATTAAAATATTTAAGGAAATAAATTAAACTAAAATTAAATTAAATATTAATTTGAAAATAAAAAAAAATTTCAAAAAAAAAATAAAGAACAAAATATAATATTTAGGAATTAACAAAGCTTAACGAAGCTCTCCAAGCAAAACAAATAAAAAATGAAAAAGCATTTGACTGTAAATAATTTTTTTATATTATAAGTATTTAGATTTTTAAGCTTAATTATCTTTTGAATTAAAAACTTCATATAATAGATTATTATTAAAATCATCAATAAAGAAATGTATTTTTTTTTTCTAGTTTTAAATTAAAATATTAATGATAATATAGAATAAAACTAAGGCAGCGAGATTTTGTTATTCTTTTCAATTATTATTTTCCTAATACTTATTATTCATTTATTTGTAATTATTGTATTGCATTTACAACATAAAAATTATTATAAAAAGTTAACTTATTCAAAATACCATAAAATGTATTGAAAATAAATACTATCGAAATTAAAAGAAAAAAATTATTTTGAAAATATATTTAAAATGTCATTAATAAAAACTATAATAAATTATATTTTAACTATGAAAATAAACTATACATAAAGTATCAAGATAAAAAATATGCATATTTCAGTAAAAGTTTAAATATGTTTTTCTCCTATATTTTATAATTTTCTTAAATAATTTATTATTTTTATATTCTTTATCTATCAATTTTAAAATGAACCACATAAAATCTATAAACAAATCGGCAATCTTACTTAAGAAATTTTACTGGTTTTTAACGAGATATAATTAATTTTATATTTTGTAGAATATAAATCAATCATTAGATTGAAGCTATTTTATTACTTTAATGTTTGCCATTAAAAAAGACCATATTATTTCTTAAATAAAATTAAAATTTGTTCAATTTATATTATAGGCAACTTAATTCATTTCTTAATAAGTTTATTATACACACAAACATGATATACATTTTATTTAAAGAAATATTTTGTGCCATTCAAGATTTTTTTAATTTTATATAGATTAAATATAATAATCATAGTTTCTTCATGTTTTACATTTTATTTTGTATGAAAATTCAAATTCAACTATTTTATTAAAATAAAAAAATAATATTTGCTTCAAATTCTAATAAGAAGAAAAAAATAATAAATATGAAATAAATTAGTAATTATAATTGTAAATTTAATTATAAGAAAATTTATATTTAATTTTTTTATTTTTCTTTTTATATTTTTTATATACAAAAGTCGGATATAATTTAGTTCAATTAAAAAATAAATTTATAATAATTTTTAAAGAAATAAAAATTTATAAAACTAACCAATGATGATGTAAAAATAAAGATTTATTTATAAAAAAAAAAAATATTCACGTTTTTATTTCAGTTGATTCTTCTTCAATTCGTGTTACTTTCGAAGTATGTAATCTAATCCTACTCTTGTAACGTAAAATGAACCTCTGTCATCTCAAAATAACCTAAAACAATAAAATTTCAAATTTATAACAATTAAATCATAACAATTTAGAGTTCTCGAGTTCTTTATTTATTTCATATAAAAAAAAAAGATTATAATTTTAGATTACATAGTCAATGTAAGAAAAATAAAGTATGAAATGATGGAGTTTGGTTCTTTTCTCTTAGTCTATATTATCGAAAAAAATAAAATCGGTTATTTAAAGTGAAATTTTTATCACATTTGTTTTTTTTTTTTGTTTTAAATTTGCATTATTTTAATTATTTGTATATAATGTTATTTACTAAAAAATACTTTGAAAATTTAAATACTAAATTTTATTTTAAAAATCATAAAATCATAAAGAAGACTGTTTTTATTTATATTTTTTCGTTCTCTGGTTTTTTTTTTCTCCTTAAATACTTTCATATAACATTAATATTACATTCACCATCTGTTATGATCTGTTATGATTATTTGCTATAATTATTCATATCATTTTATTTATATTAAATTAATATAAATTATCTTAATCATCCAATTCAGCTTCATTACTATAAACTTCCATAATTTTTTCACTTATTTCCCAATGTAAATCTTTGCTTAGATCTTGAACAAAAACATGATACCAAATTGCTTTATCATCATTTTCATCTGTTGATGGTACTTGAATACCATAAGTTTGTAGGGCCAATGATAAACATGAAATAGCAACATGCTCCGCTTTATAATTTAAAATAGCTGGATTATGATGAAAATCTTGAAGAAAAGCTGCAGCAGATTTTGCAATCGGTGCTGAATTCCAAATAGTTGGTCCCAACCAATCTTGTAATGATTTCATGTAGTAAAGCATGTACTAAAAGTAAATTATTTTCATTTAACATTTGAATAATTTAATAAAATAGTAAGAAATTAAACAAAAAAAATTCACCTTATGTGGATGAACAGTATTTAGTTCAAATTTTAACATTCTTGTAATAAGTAATTCTGCTTGAACAATTGCATCTCGCATCGACCAATATTCATCTCCAAGTTCAAGTGGACCGGAAGATCGATTAAGTGTATTATGTGCAACATTAATTACATCACGAATTTTAACTGGATCATCTTTGATTTTCCCAGCTAAATAAATGGAAGCAGAAGCAATAAGCTAAAATTAAATGACAAAATAAAAAAATGTAAAAAAATTGTCGAATAAAATTTATTACGATTAATACTAACAAAAACATCATATGATGAGCTATCTACTTCCTTGAAAAACCTATGAAATAGTGTAGCTGCTGTGGCCGTTGTTAATGGTTTCATGGCCAACTTTACAGCACATTCAAAAAGAAACCTTGATGCTAATCCATTTTTATTAGATTTCTTCCTAAAAATAGAAAAATATGGCATTCAATTATTTTATTGACTGATAATATGCCAACTATTCAAAAAAAAAAAAAATAAAAATAATCAACTTTCGGTGCACACATACAAAATTGTTGATTATTTTTATGTTGTTATTATTATTGTTTATCTGAATAAACTCAGACATTCTAGAATTTTATCATGTACATTGGTAATACCTGTATATATATCACCTACTATAAAACATGTTTAGGTGAATTTATTAATAATTAACTCCAACATGTTACTATTATTTACTTTTTTCTTGTTTTTGGAAGTTTCGATTAAGATAAGCACTTAAACTTAACTTCTTACTCATATTTGTGTACTAAAGACATTTATGGACCGTTTTCAGTTATTCGTATCGACAAAATTAAAAAGCTATAGGTGTAAGATCGTGTTTAATAAATACTACAACTGAAACCATAAGTTTTAATTTTAGTAACACCTATGTGTTGCCTGAATAACAAATAACAAACAGCGAATACTTGTGCCACTTTTTTTAAGTACCTATTTAATTTAATTGCAATTTCCTTTTACCAAAAAAAAAAAAACAATTATTTTTTTTTTTAACCAAATTAAGTATCAAATATGTAGGTAGGTACCTGTACATAACAAGAATTAATAAATTTTTTTCAAATAAAGTTAAGGCCTTATAAAAGTGTAAGTAAAAGATACTTGTAACATTAAACTTACCTATAATCTGTAGGTGTTGGCCTTTGTGCGGCTTCTATAGCCCTTCTTTGGGACTGAATTGATAAAACATCTACAACATTTTTCATCCTTCTTTAAAGTTCAAAAACCCTTTAATAAAATAAATAATAACATATACATTTATTACCACATTGCTTATGCTTATTTAGTAACATACTTATAGTTACATATACATACATTTGTACAATAAACTAAGCCAGACAGATATACGAAGTAAAGTAGGCAATAAAAGAAAAACATATTTTGGGGAAAATAATTTCGGTTGAATTGCTTAAAGGAATCCAAGGCAGAGTTTATTACTATAGTTTGAAAATTTAAATAATTTAATTTTGCACATGAATAACATAATTCAAAACATTAAAATAAAATATTTTTGTATGTACAATATTTACAAATTAGAAGCGTCTAATATTTTTAGCTGGTGGAATCATCATAAGGTATTAAAACCGGCTGGTTTACGATTTTTATGTTGCTAAGAAAAAATTGCTTTTGGAGAAATGTTAATAACAAATTTTTAGCTGAAATTTCGAGATGAAATTCAAGGAAACTAAAATCTTTGCGGAAAACCGGTTTTATCTTTTCTTAATTTTTATTTTTTAGAAAGTTTAAATTTTTCTGCAATATTTCATAAATTTTATTACACACATATCTTTAATATTATAATTAAATATGTAGATAAATAAATAAATAAACGCTTAGAGCTCGTACATGAATTTTAAGCAAAATTAAAATCAAATTTCAATTGCAATTCTATTGTTAACCTAATTGTGAGCCTATATAAAAATTGCTTTACGAAACCCACAAAATTATTTAAATATTAATTCATTTCAAAGATGATTTGTAAAAATTTTGAATAAATCACAAATTTTAAATAAATGATAACTCTTACCTACATTTTCAACATGTAGGCAAGGCTCTTATGTTTTAGCGCTCTGCATGACTTTCAAGAGCGATAAAAATGCTTTGCTTGAAATTTCAGCTCATTATAATAAAATTTTCTATATTTTTTTAAGCACATTTTAATTAAAAGACACTAAATTTTATTTAGTAATTTATAAAAATAATTAATACTAAATATAAAAAAAAATTAATATGTCGGTATACCTTTCACAATAAAAATTATAAGGATAAATATCGAATGCAAACAGCTGGCCGAGCAAAACAAAACTGATTTCAAATTAAATTATTTGACAGCCGCATGCAATGCATTCAAAAACGTTTAATTTAAAAAATTCCCATCAGATGTCGCCACATGTATTTCCTTTTCGAAATTATTAATGACGTACAACACAGCCCTATTTTCGTAAATATATTGATTTTCTACATTTCAAGAGAAGCAAAAAGAAAAAAATCAAAACTAATAATAAATCATTATAAAAGACAAATAAATTGAGTCAACGGATAAAACTCAATAAAAATTTTATAAAAAAACAGAAAAATTTTTAAATATTTTTAATAAATTAATTATTGAAATTAGTTAATATTATATACATATAAATTTAAACGGCATAAGCACAGCACAAAGTGAGTTATTAAATAAGAAGAAAACAAAATTTTTTCGTGTTGATTTTTAGTGAACCATAAAGTAAATAGCAAAAAAGGAGTGTCATTCATAAGTATGGAAATGAAGTCCTTGAAGGATTTTCTTGTACTTTAATATTGAATTAAATACAACAATATATAATTTCAAGATACATCGAGAAAAATCTTTAACAACGGTTTTTACCTCAAGTATAAATTGCATAAAATTGGGAGAAACTACTTCTCTGTGTTTTTATTATGAAGTCTGTAATTTTTTTTTTTTGGTCTTAAAGAAATTTTTTAATTAAGTATTATTGCATTTATATTATAGGCCTAGGTATAAAATATATTTTATTTTTTTTAATTTTATTTTTTTTTAAGCGAAAAGACTACTAAGAAATTTTGATTCGTTCATGAAAATCAAAAAAAAAATAGGAACCTACCCATCCTACCTATTTACACACAAAGAATGGATTGATCGATTGTGAATAGGAATTTAATATGAAACTGAAGATTTATTACGCTTTGTAAATAATCATAAATGTTTAATCAAGTTTTAGGAAATAATTTACAAAAGAATTATAAAAGAAAAAAAAGAAATCAAATTATCTGAGCGTTTTTAGTTTATACTAAATTTCAATTATGGCGCTAATTAGTAAAAGTTTAACAGGCATCAGCTGTATACATTATGTTTACAGTACAGAATGTACACAAAAAATCTCTTATTTCAGTATACTATTGGTAGATATTCTGCTTGTAAAGGATAATCTCAAATTAATTAAAAAAATACTTAATTTTAATTAATATTAGCAAAAAATACTTTTAATATTTTTTAAAAGGTGAAAAACCCTTTAATTAATCATACATAATATATATATTATATATGTATATAGGCAACATTTATATGGGTACTTAAATTTTCTATAACATGTTTTTCTTTTTTTTTTTGATTTATTATCTTAAAACATGACCTACGTTTATTCAAATGAATAATTCATTATTGAATCATTAAAATTGCTTTAATATATGACATTTCTCTTATTTGATTGTTTCTCTATATACATGCATAAGTACATACATTAAAATTACTTAAAAGTTAAAGTTTGCCAAATAATATGATGCATATATATAAATTTTATTAAAAACAAAAACTTATAATAATATTTTCATACTTATAAATAAATTCAAAAAAATATATAGCTTTATAAAATAAAAAATAATGATCAAGAACAATAATAATAATTAAATTACATTTTTGAGAAAAGAAATCTTTATAATGTCATTCACCAATTAATAAAAATTCAATTACAATACGCTTAATTTCGTAGATTATTTAAGTATTTACATATATTAAATATATAATATAATTATAAGAAAATTATATTTTGTATTTTAATTAAGTTGAAAATAAATTTAATGAATGTGAAATTCATTTGTATATTTTCAATTATATTTATACAAAATATATTCATTTAAAACAATTTTTAAAAAGCGTGATAAATTTTCATAAATAATTTATTATTATGATTTCATATATTATTTTATTTACAATACATGTATATAGGTATAAGTAGGTTCCTATCTATAGTATTTCTTTTTATATTAAAATTTTCACATTATAATATTCAAAAGATTTTCTCTTTAATATAAAATTTGATGAGAAAATTAAAAAAAAATTATGAGCATATTACGAAAATAGGAAAAGTCATTTACAAAAAAAAAAAAATCGCATTTCACATAATAACGGTAAAAAAGAAGCTCTCATTTAATTATAAGCTTTCGAAGACGAATCACCTCAAAAAAGAAATTTTTTTTTGTTCTGTTGTTGTTTTTTAAACGAAAAAAGTAAAATTTCTGCTTCTTTTTTATATACAATTTATAGATATACAAATATTAAAGAAAATCTAAGAAAATTTTCAAAAAAAATAAAAGAATAATATCAAAAATAAATAAAAATGACATAAAATCTTCATTTTTTTTTTGTCAAAATAACAAATTTCAATTTATTCGCGCACTATTCGCTCTTTTATAACGGCATCATTAAGTCGATAGTCCGTCCGCCGATTAATAAATCAATTTTTGTTGTTTTTAATTTATTGTACCACCATTAAGCAATTAAATGAATTTATATCGAATAGCGAATCAAAATTGATCATTCATTTTTCATTAATATTTCGATGCGCTTGTAAATTTTTAAAAAGATTTTCGCTTAATTTTAAAAATAAAAAAGAAAGGAGGAATAAAGTAGCTTTTAATCAACTGGAAAATTTTTTTATATAACAAAATTACACATAAAATAAATAATTATATAACCATAAATTCAGTATGCAAGTGGAAAATTTTTTTAATATAAAAACAAAAAACACAAATAAAATTTAATAAATAAATAATTTTTTGTTAAATGGGAAAAAATTAAGTGATTTCAATTTTATAATTATAAATATTGGTGATTATCGTAATGGAATTTTTTTTTTTTTTTTTTTACAAAATTAAAATATAATATATTTAAAAAATTAATATAAAATTTAATGAAAACCGTCTGAAGAATAAAATTATTATTAAAATTAAGTAAAATGAATATTATAATAAAAAAAAATTACTTGGATTTATTATGTGAAAACAATAATTAACCAGAAAATTTTATTCGAATAAAATTAAATGAGCAAAAATAAAGATAAAAAGACGTGGTGCACAAAATCTTCATGTGTATATGTACAATATACGTAAAAATGTTTTAACGTATTTTAGATACACACGTATATTTTTTTTTTATAATAATTTTTGAGCTAAAAATAAAAATATAAATTTTTTTTTTTATTTTTTTCGGGGTTTTTATGTAATTGTTTTCTTTCTTATTTTCGTTCACTTTAATGTTTGTTTTTATGTATATTATTTATAATGTGTACAAATACAAAATTCCCATGAAACAATTTCATTTAAAGAAAAATCACACATAAGTATATAATTTATTCATTGCATTGTAAATTAATTCACTGTGTTGTGAATTTCAAGTGAATAATTATAATTTTTATTAAAATAGCAATTTACTTTTCTACATTGCAATCACTTTTCAAAAATTACTGCAGAAAAGAGAGTTTTCTTTTCTCATATTAACATTTTCAATTAAATTTTATTACTATATATATATTAAACTAGATGAAAATGTATAGTCTGACTTCAAAATAACAGTAAAGAAATATTGATACACAATTAAGCCTATGAATAGTAATTACTGAATTGTGTGTGAATACACCACTTACTATTTTTTTGAATGACACTATGATTAATAATGAATAATATGATTAATAATTTTTAGTTCTGTTATTAAAATTTACAATTTTATTGAAAATATAAAAATAACTTTTGTATGCCAGAAATTTTCACAAAAATTATTTTGTATGATAATTAATTGCACATTTTGCATTAATTTGAAAAATTGCATAATGCATGAATGATAGAAACACTCAATCTTCTTCCGTATACTAAAAAACAAAAAAAAACCAAAAATAAATTAATATTTGCATTCTCAAAATAAAATTGGCAAAAATGCAACATGGGTTAGAATTATGGGTATAGAATATGGTTTATAAGAAGATAACGAAAAATTAATAATTATTTAACAACGTATTATATATACATATATTATATTTATAAATTTTAATAATTTATGAAAATATTTTCTGGTTGACGGTCTTAAATTTAAAACAATTTTTGCTAAATTAAAAAAAAATTATAAAAATTTTTAAAATGAATTTTCATTTTGTGAAAAGTGGAAGCCAAAAAAAATTAAAATTTACAAATAGAAAAGAATAAAATGTTTTTTTTTTTTGGTTTTGTTTTATATTTTTTTTTGAAATTTTAAAATAAAATCATTTAAAATTAAATATAAATATAGAAATAATAAAAATGTTACAATTTTATTTTAAATAAACAATATGACATCATAAATGTAAATTTTATTTAATTATTGTAAAAATATAAAGTATTGCGTATGTCAAACGCCACATTAAATAAATTTATTAAGATTCCGCCAAAAAAAAAACAAAAAATAATGAACCTAAAACTGTTATACATATATAGGAAAAACAGTTTTCTATTATAATCCAAATAATTAAATTTATATATATATAAATATTTTTCAATTTATTAGATTGTATATAATTAAAATTTAAATTATTTATTAAAGTATATATTTACATAGACTTTTTTTTCTTTGTTTTTTATATTGCAGAATCATTGGTTTTTATATTAAAAATCATTATAATTACTTTTTCTGACATATTATATTTAATATAATAAATAATGATTCAACGAATTTAAAAAAAAAAATAAAAATAAATTATAATAATAAAATAATTGGAATAATTTATAAGAGTAACAATTTTATTTTTTAAAATCAAATTACCACATAATAAATAGAGAAAGTTAGTAAATATCCAAACTTCTTCAAAAGAAAATCAATAAAATTTAAAAAAAAAAAAAAAAAGTGCTCAATAATATAAAATTGAAATTTAGTGTGATTATAAGTAGCTGTGCGTGAATCAAGAAAAAATTAAAAAAACAAAAAATTTAATTTTTTTAATTAAAATTATATTAAGAAAACAAATAAAAGAATAAAAATGAAAACAACACAAACATCACAGTATAATGAGGGCTTAGGCCCCAAAAAAACAGTGTTTGTAATGGTAACTGTTGTTGGATGTATAGCAATATTATGGCCAAAAGTATTTTATCCAATGATGTTTGGTTCATCACCACCACAGCAACCATATAAAGATTATCGACCAGGTGGAGCAAGTAAGTTTTTTTTTTTTTTATTTTGTAATTTTTATAAAAATAATTTATTTTTTCATCAAAATTACAAAAAAACAAAAAAATTGATGTTTATTCTTGTATATATGTATATAATTCCTTCAATTATTTTAGGTATTTTAAATTTAGAAAAAAAATCTATTCTGTTAAGCTCAAATAAATTCGATGTTTTAATTGGATATTTTCCGCAATCAGGTGATCTTTCCTAATACCCCCCCGTTCTTAAAATTTAAGCGTATAATAAGGTTTTGAAATTTCTTTCACCATTTCATTTAATATTGATTTTAAAACATTTTAAACATGTTATATATTACTTACATGTTGTATATTTCGAAACATTAGTAGTTATTTGATGATTTGTATTCTTGCATCCGTGACATTTTATATTCTATACTTTTATTAGAATATGAAATTTATTTAAATTTTGCGATATTTTTATATTTTTCATATTACTATTTTTTACTTATATAAATATATTATTTTTAGTAAAATGTTGTGAAGTTATCTTGGATGAAGAGGAATTTGTAAATGCATCAGCAGTTGAAATTGGACCACAATTATTTCGAAAAAATTATAATTTCTTTCCTGAAGAGACCTGTATGTTATCATACGATTAATTTGTTTTTCTCATGAAATTTTTGATAATTTCTATTACAATTAACTTATTATTGCTTCAATTAACTAATTTAACAATGAACTAACAAAATTTTTGAAATAATCTCTGAAAATGTTAATAAACTAGACTAATGAAAATATATTATCGAAACACAGTGCTGCCATAATAACTTATTATAAGTAAGGTATGGTTAACAAACCATATTATCTAACAAATCATACTAATATATTTTCACATTATTGAAATAATTTCCAATTAATGCTTAACTGAACGCATATAAATTCACTACTAAACCGCATTTTGAGTGAAATAAAATATTAAAAATTATAAATGAAAAATTTTATGTAACTTCATGAAATTTAGAAAATTATTATTTTTTTACAATTTAGATTTACGTCAGGAAAGGCCTCCGCATTTAAGACCAGAAGGAATTCATCCAGCAATGAGAGAAAGAGGTCGTGCTATACCAAATACTCAAACAGTGCCTATTATTGATAGAGCAAGAAGTTCAAGAGATGCTCCACCAAGAATCGTTGAAGGAAGAGTAAGTTTTATTAAATTGATTTATTAAATTTATAAATTCTATAATTTTTAAAGTTTTGTATAAGAACATAGAGTGTTGGTTCATAATGATTTAAAATTTAAACAGAATCTGTATAGAGTACCGTTAGAACCTAAAATTGCTATTAATTTATTTATTTAACTAATTTTAAACGCAGGTCAACATTCTAACAATAATATTCGAAAAATGATTTGCATATTTAAAATAAATTTTGTATAACAATTTGCGATTGCAATTTAAAAGAAAATAAATGGCAATTGTTGTTATTTTAAAAACAAAATAAAATTTTAAAAAATCAACACAAAATTAATTTGACAACAATCAGAAATTGTAATTTTTCATACTAAAAAAGAAGAAGAGGAGGAATATGTACATACATATACATATATCTACATTATAACTGTATGTGCTGTGCGAAAAATGTAGACATTTAAAAAATTTGTACTTTTTTTTGAAGTTGACATAAAAGAATTTTCAAATATTTGGCATTCAAAATTCATTTTGATAATATGGTAAAGGCTTTGCCCTAAAAAATATTTATGCGTTTTTTTAATTATTCAAAAAATTACATTAAATATTTTTGTTAAATTCCTTTTAAATTTACAATAATTTCACCTGAAATTTTGTATATAATTATAGGTATAACAATTAGTCAAAATACACAATTTACCATATACATACCCACATATACATGTTATGTATAAATTAACAATATTTTTTGAAGTTTTCTAAGCGTAAGAAATTTTTGCACAAAAAAATTGTTTTTTATTTTTAGAATTTTTCAAATTTATTCTGTTAACAGGGAGACCCACAATATGAGGAAACATTAAAAGAGAAGAAAAAATGAAAATGAATTATAGTTGATGAATCATCTATGTATTTATCAATTTTATTTTTTCGAATTTGTAAAATTAATTTTTTATTTATTTGCACATGTATTTTTTAACTTTTTTCTTTTATACGGTTGCTTATTTTATTGGATTATTTCTGGAGGTGTAAAAATATAATCAGAATAAAATTTTATTACATGCGAATACATGTATGTATTGTCTAAACAAAAATCCACTTTAAGAATTAACTAAAAAGTGAAAATGTAGTAGCAAAATTTTTAAATCTTAAGAAATTAAACTAAACACTAAATTCTTCTTTTTTATATATTATATTACTTAATAAACAAAAATTAAATAAGTTTACGATTTAATACAATTTAAACGCAAAAGCTCGTAAAACACAGCTAATATTGAAATAGGATTATAATTATATACAAATAAATTTAGCAATTCTTATATACCATAGGGTTAGTTCTTTTTTGAATGAAAATTATTAAATATAATTTTTATCATATTGTTAATTTTTGCATTCTATTTAAATGAATAGATATAACACTTTGAGCGTATTACAAAATATATAACATTTTAAATGTATAACACTTTCGATCACACACACAGTATTACATGAGAATATGTTTCGAGAAGAGTATATGTATGCACATATTTATTCCGGTAGATCCTATTTAACATGATTTCCAAGCAAAGTATCGTTTCATTTATGAACTATCCTGCAGCAATTTGGAATTGTTATACTGTTATACAAATGTTACTGAATTATAAAATCTATATAACTTAAGAATACCTAGAGAATTAAAGTTCTAAAAATAAATTGAGAATATAGTAAAACTACTTAATTATAGAAAAAAACGTCAATACTTTTATATTTCAAAAATTAAGAATTTCAATAATCCTTTTTTTTTGTTATATTTTATTCTTTTCGTAATATTAAAACATGGAAATTTTGAAATAGAATTAAAAAAAAAATGTTTTTGTTTTCACTATAAATTGAAAATTTGCCAATTTTTTCAGTGAAACGCTTAAATTCAAATATTTCAATTTTCCAAAATAATGTAAAAAAATATACAAAAAAAAAAAAAACAAAATTACTTTACAAATATTTTATATTGTCTACAATATATTTAAATATTCGAATTTTAAATGTTAACTAATAGTTGTAAAATTAAATTATGTAAATATTGTGGTATTGCGTGTGTTCTTCCTTACACTGAAAGAAAAAAAATCAGAGTTTTTATTAAAATTTTTTATGAATGAAATGAAAATTTTGTAAATTTTTTTACAAAATTTTTTTTAAATAATTTTTTAAATATTTTATAGATAGGTGCTTTCTATCTTTACGATTACTTTAATTTTATTTTTAATATGCTGGGTCTATAATTTTAGAATTATTTGCCCTACATATACATACTTACATTATTTTCGACATTTGTTTTAATTGCGAAAACCCTAAAAAAAATTTTGATAGATTATTTATACTGCTCAATTTTAATTAAATTTATTATTATTTGTTTTTTATAACTAAAAATTTGTTAAAAATTGAATTTCATAGGGAAAATTTACATTAATTTTATTATTCTAATTAAAAATTTTATGAATTCTTGTATGTATGCCCTGTTATTGTACATATTTTCACAAAAAAAAAAAAAAAACCGGCTGTTTAAAAAAAAAAAATCTTTTTGTTTTTTATTACCTATTTAAAAAATAAATTTACAATTTCTAGCAGGTGTCAATATTAAAATTCTATATTGTCACCTTGACATTTTTTTCTTTCTCATTCTCACTTAAAACTTCCTTGTTATATATTTGTCTCATTCGAAAATAATTTATAATGTTTTATGACAGTAATTTCTAATTTTTTTTTAAATATACATATGTATGTAGGTACACATACGTAAATATTTATTTTTTGCTCAAAAATTAAGTCGCTGAAATTAGAACATTTATTAAAAAAAAATTTAGGATTAAATTTAAGTGAATACATATATACATATTTGTATAGGGTGTTTTACGAGAATTATTTAAAAATTCTGATAATTTAATCCAAATTGACGAATGTTTGTAGAGATGACGAACGGTAAGTGACAATAAACTGTGAATACATAAAGTAAATTTATCCATCCACAGTTTACTGTCGTAAAAATATAATTGTGATGTACATACAATGTGTTTTTTTGTTGAATATTTCTATTTTTATATGGAAACCCGCCCTGTTGCTCCAGACTAGATTGCCAATTAAAAAACAAAATGAAATGTCTAAATAATTTTAAGATTTAATTTCAAAAAATTAGGAATTATACACAAAAACATTATCAAATTGCAAATAAAGTTACCAAATTACCAAACGTAAAAAAATTACCGCTATTGGTAAAAAATTGATATGGCAACCCTGTGTACAATATACAAAAAATATCTTTAGAATTATATGACGTACAAATGACATTTATATTGTGATATAATAATAAATTTGATTTTATATAGATTTTCTACAGAAAATATTAGAGGATTTTTATTATTTTCTTATCCATCACGTCCGACTCCATTTTTAATATAATAAATTGAATATGTTATATATGTATGTATTTATTTATACCATAGTATATACCAAGAGAGCTAAAAGAAACTGCTCGTTAATAATTTCAATATTATTTGTGTAAAACTGTTTATTTTGCAAAATTGCACTACATTTTTGTGTTTCATGTATTTTTTTTTTTGAGCTATTTATTCACACCCGAAGTGCATTTATGTGGGTGACACATTAAAAATGAACAATATTTTGACGCATTAAAACAACTCAATTAAAGAGATTTTTAGTGAAGTTTTTTCTCCCGCTCATGATATATGTATATAAAAGCAATATGCTTGTATATCACTTCAAAATTATAATTTTATATATTCATAAATTTTTCTTCTTTAAGTTGGTTTTTAAATTATAAATTTTGCACAAAAACGTAAAATTAATTTTATTTTTATCTTCTCTATTTGTTTTGTTATTATTTTCATTATTTTTCTTTGGAAAATTTTTGGAAAATCTCCAAAAACAAAAAAAAAAATTTTTTTTTGTATTTTCTTCACTTGTAATTGACCTTTGGGTGTTATTATTTATTATTTTCATTTTTATTATAATATTTTTTTAACATCTTTATTTCATTAACTTCTATTTTCGGCTAATTACCAGCTAATCATATGATTATTAATGAATTAGTTATCTATTTTTATTTAAGAGGGTCTCTTAGAACTTAATATAGAAGATAAAAGATCAGATTTTCTGATATTAAAAGAAATTTAGAAAATTTTTTTATATTTATACCTAAAATCGTATAGATATACTAATTAATACTAGTATGTATAACACATATTATAAGTATAACACAAATTTTATATATAGAACTCACACTATATTATGTTTACTTTATACAGATGGTTTTTTTCAAATAACCTACACATTTTATGATAATCGGAAGTGATATTTTATCACATATACGCATTATACAAATGGCAATATATGTGATTTAATTACTTTTCTTTTTTATTATGGAAATTTTAATTGCCATTATCAATGATTAATTTGCAAAAATAAATGAGAAAAGAACGCATTAAACTAACCTATAAAGAAAAATTTTTAAATTAGAGAAACAAATAAATAAATTTATGGTTTGTTTTTTTTTACAAAAAAACATCTAAGAAAAAAAATTATAATAATAAAATTTTATTAAAATTTTTTTTTTTTTGAAATTCGAAAAACCATGTGTGTACATTGTTAGAACTCATATAATAGATTAAATTTTTCTTTTAATCGTATAATATGTAATTAAATAATTTATAGATTAAAATGTGCGAAATTTTCAAATATTTTGACATACGAGTATATGCAAAATATAAATTGAAATTTTACATAATATGCGCGTTGAAATTTTATTATTAATTTATTATAATATTTGTAATAGTTATAATGTGGAATAGAAATTTCAATGAAAATCATATCGTAATTCGCCATATAAGTGATAAAATGGGTGTTGAAATTAATCCTTATTTAATATAACAAATAGAATTCGTTCTCTTTCATACTTTTAATTCATAAACTGTAAACTATATAAAAATCTATTTAATATTGTTTTTTTTTAATTTTAAAAATAATCAGTTAAATATTATGAGAAAGGTTATACAACGAGACACTAAGCATAATTAATTAAGAATAAATTGCTATATGAGTAATTGCTATGAACACTTATAGGGTTTTCAATACTTATTATGTCATGCTACGCATTATGTTCTCCTTTATGTTATTAAAATTTCGCTAAATATTGCATTCTCTCAAAAAAAAATTCTCTTTTTTGATTTATAATTTCTAAACAAATAAATTTACCATAAAATTTGCAACATCAATCAAAAATCAAATATTGAAAAATTTTCCATAAAACATTTGATTTTGTATGTTTTTGCTGGTATTCGATTGGCGATTGCCTGACAATTCTATAATTTTTAATAATCGCTATTTTGTTTTTGTTATTTTTCTTCTTCTTTTCTTTTCAAACAAATTTGTTTATTGATCAAATATGTAAAATAATTATCGCATACAGTAAAACACAAACATACAAAAAACCATAGTATATGAAACACACATGCATAAATCTTATATAAATTGAAAATTTTTTTTCTTATTGCAGAAGAATTTTTAAAATATTAGAAAAAAGAAAAAAAAAATAATTAATTTTTAATCATTTTGATTATATTGGCATCAATTTGCTTCTCCAAAACAAAAAAAAAATTTTCCTTTACTTTTTTTTTTGTTTAAATTTACAATTTAGTGTAAATAAGCGTATATAAATCAAAAAATAATGAAATCAATAAAAATGAAAATTTTGCGCAAAAAAAATTTTTTGTTTTTCATATTAAATTTTATAGATGAAAGACAAACACAAAGAGAAAAAATTAGAAGAAATTTTGGAAAAAAATAATTATTTAATCGCAAAATAAAAATGAAAAAAAAAAAATTATTACAAAAAATTATTTTTTCCAATTTTTCATTTATTTCAGCCTGGACCAATACCTGGCATGAGACCACCAATGGGTGCTGGATCAGTTCATCAAGCACAGCCAAAGGGTAATAGCATGGGTATTATAATGCCTCTATATACAATTGCAATAATTGCATTTTTCTGTTATACAATCGTAAAGGTAAGAAATTTTTTTCCATTTTTTTGTTTATTCACAATAAAATATTTAAATAAATTGAATTTTTTTCAAAATATTTGTTATATAATTGTGTTTTTTTTTTTTAACATTTTAGTTAGCATTTAAAAAGCCAATACAAAACGAACCATATGGTACGTCGTCATCACAATCAAATTCATCATTTAGAAAAGATGTTTATAGTGAAAATTCTGGAAAATATAAACTTGAAGGGCCTAAAATAGGTAAGTTTCGACACAAATATATATTTACTTATATATATATAAATATATATATATTTTATTATATATAATTAGTAATATATTATTTCTGCATAACCTTTCTCATATTATTTCTGCATAAGAAATAAATTTCATTCATGAAATTCGATATTTCATTAATTTATATACAAAATCAGAAAAAAAAACAACAAAATCGAATATACATACACATATTTAAATTATATATTAATTATAATATTAATGAACAAAAAAAAAAAAACAAAAAAATTTATTTAATTTATATACATATTTATTAAATTATATCCTTTTTACGCCTTACTTACTATATTTATAAATACGATCAGGGTGGAAGGAACAAGCAGCAAGTAAGATTATAAATCTTAAATTTTGTGGAGTTAACCGTACATACTTATATACCTAACTATATATACCTTCCTCTATATACCTATATACTATACTTATACCCCTTACTATTTTTTTTTTTAATAATTAATTCTAATTTAAATCTTGATAATATTTTTTTTTTTTTTTGAAAAAATATTTATGGATTTAATTTTATATAAAAAATAAATATTATTTATTATACCCATATGATATTATTTATTTTTTATATAAAAATAATTATCCAAAATATGTGCAGTTTTTTAAAATATGTCCTTGTTATTTTTTTCTTTGTTTTTTTTTTCTCGAAAGAAATGCCAATTATTACTTCGCACATTGTCTTCTTTTCTATATAAATGTGGCCTTTATAAATGTCCTAATATTTTTATATAATAAATAATAATGTAATGTTATTGATATTTTTCTAAAAATTTCTTTTGATGTACACTTGTGTATACCTAAAATAATACCTATATATATATATAAATTTTAACTGTTATATTGTATAGTTTTCTTAATATTATTTGTTTTTTGAAATAAAATTTATTCTTCTTATATAATTCATATACATTAAAAATATTTATATTATAAGATTTTTCAATATTATATACTTTTATATTTTAGTATATTATTTCTTCTTATTTTAATAAAGCAAACATATATTTAATTTAAATATTAACAAATACACATCATGTAATAGCTTGTTCTTTAAACTTTTCTAATTAATTCTTTCAATATAATTTCAATTTCGAATTAAATGGAACAATTAAATTGTAAAATACATAAATATTATGTTTATAAGTATAATATAGTTATTAAATTTAGAGTTAGGTTTCATAAATAACAAAAATATTTTTGATTAATAACCAGAGGGTAGAATTATTATTTTAAAAGTAGAGGCAATTTTTTGATTGTGAGTCGAACTTTGCATATAATAATGCATAACAATAATATTACTTTATTATTATATACCTATTGACCTAAAAATGAATTTAGGCGAAAATTAAACGGCATCAGATCGGTTTTAAGCCGAATGAGGGGTACAATTTTCTTATGCATTACAATTCTTTCTCTCAAATAAAATTAGATGGAAAATTTAAATTTAGTTCAGTTTTTTTGTTTTACTTAGATATGAAGTGCTTTTACTCACCATTTTATTAAGATAATCATATTAGTTTTTGTTTTAATTTACACAATATACTTCAAAATATTTTTATTTCAAAAAAATTACAATATTTTTTTTTTGAATATTAGAAACAAAATTCATTTCATATTGTAGACAAAACAAATAAATTTTGTTTGAATTTATAATTTTATTATTAACATACCATCATAATTAGTATTCGTAAATTATATATGAAAAAAAAAAATATACGAAATGAGAACAAAAATCCAAGTAAAAAATGAAAACCAAACAACAATATTAACCATAATTTTTAGGATGCTATCATCATCAATTGTCAGATAATGATATATATGGTCGAAAGCATGAAGATAATAATTGTATTAATAATCATAATTCAAATAATTGTGCTAATTTATGCTCAACTAACAAAAATGGCAACATTACTACTACCAAATTCACCAAATCCAATACAACAACATCAGCAACAAATATTATGGCTACTATCAACAATACAACAAATGATATAACATCCAATATTACAACCACAACCAATGCTAATAATATAATTGTGAATGCTTCTAATAAAACCAGTAATGGTATTAGTAACAATTATAATAATATTAATAATAACAGTAATAGTAATGGTCATATTAAATCGATTGAAAGAAAAATACCACATACTAAAGATCGTGAACAATTAATGGAAATTGAATGGTTAAGGAAAAAACTTGAAGAAACTGAAAAAGCTATGGCTAAATTAATAGCTGAAATGAATAATACACAAATTCAGAGAAAGGTTTGCGAAATTTTAATAATGGTTTTTTTTTTTTTTTTTTGGTTTATTTCTATTTTTCTCTCACACACTTTCATGTTTAAAGGTTTAGCAAGTATTTTTATAATTCTTAAGAAAATATTTATGTAAAATAGCTATTAATTTTTTGTTTATTTTATTTCTTATTTCATAATTTTGTAATTAATTCTATTTTAAGTTGCCATTTAATTTTTTTTATTGTTATTATTATCGGTCATTATTTAATTTATTATTTTATTAAATTGCAAATAAAACATTTTTATGAAGATTTATTTAGGTCCAGGGCTTCAAATCAAAAACTATTAATCAATAACAATTGAATCACTCTTGTCTAAAATTTTTTTTTTGAATTAACAAGCTAAATTTTTAAATTATGTGTAAAATATTTCAAAATTTTGCATACAATACATAAAATTAATATTGTGAATTACGCCATTTTAAAAATTTGGAAAATTTTTAATAGGTTTGAAGCTCTGCTAAAAAATAATTGCATATTGTATTCACGATCAATTTCAAATTAAGAAATTAAAAACAATTTATTTAATATTTAATTATTTATTAATAATATTGTAAATAACAAAAATTAATCAAATCAATTGAAAATAATTTTTATTTTTTAATTTGTTATACATTATATAATATTCACATTATTCATTTTGATATTATATGCTTATGTAGATTCAAAAATTAAAAGTATAATAGAGTGCGTCATTTTGAGTGATTCTAATATCTTATATTGAAAATATAAAATGTTATTTACAATAAATTTATTTCAATGTCCTTTTCAGTATTAAAAAGCTCGTATTATTACTGTAACACTCCTTTATTATCCTCATCATATTATTTAATATTATAGAAGACAACGCTATATAATAGAATATAATAAAGTATTTTTGTTTGTAAAACAAAAAAAAAAATCCATAATAGAAAATTACCATTTTGCTTTTTTTTTTTGTAAAATTAGTTTAATTAATCGATATATATATATAGGATATATACATATAATATCGTAACCGATGTGTATTACATTAAATGAAAAAAAGGGTGTGATTTTAAATTGATTTTGCTGGCGAAATTTTTTGATTTGAAAATTTCGGTGAGTAATAAATTATAATATATAATAATTAATAAATATAAGGTTTTCAATTAATACAAGATTTGAATTGTATTAAAAAATTCTAAATACATAATTAATATAATATTATAATATTAAGATATAATATATAGAAAATTGTAACAACATAAGCAAATACAATTCTACTAAAATTATATATGCATGCTTATATATTATTTCCTAATGTTATATGATTTAACCCTAAAATTTGTTGTCCAATATCCGAAATGAAAACCGAAAGCACTTTTTATAAAAATATATAAAATTTTACAATTAAATTTCGCGATTGAACAATGCATATATGTATGCAAAGCGCAAAGTAATATTAAACTACACGGAACTAGTTAAATGATATATTTTGAAAATATAAATTATTAGTTTTGAATAATATATGAATTTATACCAAATTCAAATTTTTATTTATAAAACCTGATCTTTGAATTTTAAGAAGAAAGAGTAAATCTACCTGAATCAAGGTAAGAATTTATAAAACAAGAGGCCAAATATTAATTCGAACATTTGTTTTCCATAAAACAATTAAAAATAATTTTGAAAACAAACATACAATGAATATTTCGTTTAAATGTGTCTATACAAAAATATGATATTATTCACGGTGGATATTTTCATTTAACATTAAATTTTATTGTGAAACAGCGCTTATCTCTCGATAATTCTAAAATTCAAATTAAAATTAAATCATTAATAAATACTGTTTATTTCCTCTATACTCATCAAATGTCAATTGGAAAGAATTCGTTTTTCATAAAACACCAATATATTTTTCTTGTTTCTCACTTTTTGCAAAATGTATATAAGCAATTTTAATTGTTGTTTCTTTATGTAATTTCTTTATAGCTTCGCATCAAGTGTTTATAAATAAAAAGCAAGACCAACTAACGTTTCTTCCATATGTTCTTGTAAATAAATTTATTAAAAATAATGTAATTGTTGTGTAAAATTCATATTTAAATATTCATATAATTGTTTGCATCCGCATAGAAAATACCGAATTTACAAATTTGACATAAAATTCAATCTTGAAGATCTCAGTATTATAAGATATTAAAATTTTAAGAGCTTATATAATAAATAAATTTGATGTTAATGTATTTTGATAAATAGGCTTTACTTAGAATAATTATTGAAATGTTACAAATTTTAAGACTCATAATATTTAAAAAGAATTAGTAATTGCTGTAGACCTTGAATTATAATATGTGTATATTTAACTAAAATTTAATTAAAATCATTTAAATATAAACATATTAAAATTATGGTTAATCTCAAAAAGAGTATTGTAATCGCCTACATTCATCGTCTAAGTTGATGCGGAAAAATTTTTTAGAGAACAACTATAACCATCTGTTACTGTTTATACTCGTTTTGCTTTAAAAGAACCATGTCTATGTACCTAATACTGTTGTTGTACTTTGAATTAATTCGTTTATAATTATATACTAAAAATAAAATTAATTGTGATTAATTTTCTTGTCTTGTTCAAAAAACAAAAAAAAAAAAAATTCTTAACAATATTGGCATGATCATATCTGCACTTAATTTATACTTTCAAAATTCTCCTAAACATTATATACTTAGTATGTCTTTTCTTCCCTTCTACACAACCAGTTATAGCAAATAAAAAAAAAGGACATATTTTAAAATACTCTTTTTTTTTTTGTTAAATTTATTAACTCAATTAATTTTCAATTATAGATAATTTATTTACTTTTCAAAAAAAATTTTGTTTTGAAAAAAGAAAATTCTATATTTAATATTTATTCAAATTTAATTTGTTTTTATAAAATTTTTATAAAAATTAACATACAAAAAGTAAAGAAAATTATCTAAAATTATCAAAAAAAAAAAACTTAATTATTGTTTTCTTCAAATATATATTATGTATATTTATATATAAAATATACATCGAAATGTATATATACAATGTATATTTAAATTGTACTCATACAGTCGTGACAGCAGTTCAAGGTCTAATTGATGAATACGATAATACATACGGTGATCAAGCTACAACAGATCATAAGGTTAGAAATATTTAAAAGAATATTTTTTAAAATATCCTCATAATAGTTTAGTGAATATTATATGTTAACTAATTAATGTCTGAAATTAATGATCGTTTTGAAATTAAAAAAATTAAAACTCAAAATGAATTTACTCAAATTTACTAATTTATTGCAATTACTACTAAATATATAGAATCTTCGCAAATAACAAAATATGCAATTAAATAATTATTATCGGATTTTAAGAATTCTTTACTTAAATATTTTAGATCTTTAAATATATGCTTTATATATTTTATTACTTACAATTAGATATTAATTTTTTATATTATTTTTAAATTGCATAGTATTTATTAATGGTTTTTTTGTAAATTATACTTAATCCATAATTATTATTATTGAATTTTTAATTAATATTATTTTAATATTATCATTTACTAACAAAACAGAAAAAACAATAGCACAAACAAAAAGTATTCGAAAATATTTTTTAAAAATTTATTTATTTTAAAATTTACTTATTTTACTATTTTTAATTTTATAGGTGTCATTAATTGTATAAATTTATTTATTAACATTTTTTTTATATAATTTATGATTTTTTTATTTAATATACTTTAAAATAGAATTCGAATAATCAAAATTAATTAATTAATAAATTGGCTTTTAAAATATTTTAAAAATTTGAAATTTGTTTAATTAAAATCAATAAATATTAAATATCTTAATAATTATAAAAAATATTTTATTTTTATTTGTTTTTTTTTTTTTTGCTTTTATGAAATAACAACCAAATAATTTAAGGATATAAATAATGAAGTCTCAAATCAAAATGGAAATATATCAAATGGACATGCAACAAAACAAAAAGATCATGATGAAAATGAATATAATGGTAGTAAAGTTGAAAATTTATCAAAAAAACATGATGATTCATCACAAAAATTAATTGATAATGAAAAAGAATCGAATATTAATGATAATAAAATAGCATCAGATAGAAAAAAACGTGAAGGAAGTGTGGATAAAGCAGTAACGGTATGTGAAAAGAGAAAATTATTTTTTTTTTTTTTTTTTCAAATTAAAAAATCGGGAATTTACAAAATAAAATACTAAAAAATTTTAATATTGATTTTACATTTAGTTACATAAATTTTATAATTTCACTAATTTTAATTTTATATTTCTTAATTATAATTTAAACTTAATTTAATTATTATTATTTTATTATAATGAGGAAAGGAAATAATTTGAAATCCTATTTGATTTTGACTAAATGTTAATAAATATTTTTAATCTAATTCTAGTACATTACTAAACTTTATTCTACTACAATTTTGTCTCAAACAATTCTCTTAGAAAAGAAACTTCAAATTTCAAAAATGACAAAATAAATCTTGACAAATTTTAAATTATATTTCCTTGTTTTTTTTCTTTTAAAACAAAAATACTAAAATTAACAAATTTCTAATACTAATTTAAGCAATCAGTCGTAATTTAAAATTATTAAATTAAAATAAATTAGTAAATGGATTAAAAATTAATAAGTTATTAAATGACCAATTCTTTGAAAAATAACATGACAAACACAAAAATTTTTTTTACTAACTTTTTATCAAAATCAAAAACTCGATTTCAAAAGCAAACATTTGCTTTATTGCGCTATTCATCACAATTACTAACTATTTTCTTAAAAAATTTTCATTAAAAATAAAAAATATTTGTACATATGACATACAAAATTGAAAAAATAAAAAAATAAAAATCAGGTTATGGGTATGGAATTAACTGCAAGTTTTGAGGGTGGTCAGAAATGGCACCGCCCTGTAACACCTGAATTTCCTCACCATGAACATGTAAGTTAATTTTAATTTTTTTCCCTTTTTTTTTGTTTTTTTTTTTCTGTTAATTATAATTTTCTTTTTTTATATATATATTTTATTTTTCATATCAAATATTGTTTTCTCGATCAATTGGCTTTATTGCATTTCATTTTTTATTTATTTATTTATTTATTTTTTAAATAAAAAAAAATATTTTATTCGAATTATGGCAGAATAATAAAAATTATGTAAAATACAAAAAATTTCAGTCCGGTGCCAGTTCACCCACTTTTAATGGACAAGAAGAACCTAAATCAATATATTTAGAAGGTGCATTGCCTCATGAATCACAAATTTTAGTTACTGATGCTGAAATCAAAACAGAAAGAGCATCTGATTTAGATTGGGATGAAGATGATAATGAACCAGCTGTAAGTATATTATTCAAAAATTTTTAATACTTAAAAAAAATACTTTAATTATATATATTATATATATATATATATGTGTATATATAGAAATTATAAAAATAATTCTCAAAGTAATAAAGTGATGCATCATAATTAGATAAATATGAAACATAATTAACATTTAAACGTACCTAAAATTTTAATTTATACATTTTTCAATTATTATACTTAATATTTCTAATTAAAATATTTTTAAATTTTACAATTTTAGGTTGTTTTAAGCAGTAAAATTTCATTATCATTAATAAATGTCAGTTCAGGTGAAGAAGGCGCTGATGATGACGATGAAGAAAAGAATATTGAATTAGATGATGTACCCGAAGATTCTCAAAATAAAGAAGAAAGCGATTCAGTGGAGAATCAAGAAGAAAAGCATCATGAAAATGAAGCTGATAATGATAAAGAAATTTCTGATGAAAATTAAAATACGAAATCCGCAAAGAAAATTTTTTTTTTTAATTAATTAAGGAATTTTAAAACATAGGTTTTCACTTTACAATAAAAATTTAAAAATAAAAAAAAACAACAACAACAACAAAAATTATATGAACAACTTTAAAATAACAAAAACAAAATATTTCATTTGAAAAAATATTTTTCAATTAAAATTAAAAAAAAGTAAAAACAGTAAAGAAAATATGTTTTGATAATCTACTTTAGATATATACCATTAATAAATTTAACTTACTTTCTTAACTCTTATTATAAGCCAAAAAAAAAAAAATTAAAAGCAAAAATATTCATTAAATACACTTATGTATATTTACATATTTTTAAACAACATACTTATTATAATATAATTGATTAATTATTAACCCATCATTTACTCTTAAAGGATAAAAAAAACAAAGTCATATATTATGTATTATTAAAAAAAAAAATTTCTATTATAATAATTGACTGATTTTAATCCCAAAAAACATTTAATTAAATTACTACTATATATTCATAATTATTTAGAACGAAAATAAAAAACAAATGTTATAAAAAATCAATATTTAAAATTTTATTGTAAATCTCTTTAAATTTGCCAAATTTACAATGTGAAATTAATTTTCTTTTTTTTTTCTCTGTTTCATTAGTTTAAATTTTTTATTTTTTGTACAGTATACTTTATTCTATAATTAACAGAAATATTTTTATTGTTATTAAATCATTTATAAATATTCATTTTTAATTATTCATTTATTTTAGAAAAAACAAAAAATTACATTAAAATATTGTCATAGTATATACAAAATACATGAAAACTGTTGTTCATATTTCCATTTTGAGTTGATACTGAAATATATTTAATATTTATTTAATAATATTATGATAATTAAATTTTTTATTTAAAACCAAAAAGATACTTTATAGAAAAAGAAATGTATACAAAATTTAAATCATTTATTTATTTTCACTTATTCAAATTCTATATTAAAATATATCTGAAAATTAATTGTTTAACTATGATTTTGAGCACATTTTAAAATATTTAATAAAATATTCATTTCAATTCAAATAAATTTAATTTTATTCGAATTACAAAGTAATTTTCCAAAATTTTTTGTATAAAAAAATAAAAATATTAATTTTTGAAAATAATTCACAATAAAATGTTCAAAATAGCCTAATAATCTTTTTTATAGAAACGAAAAATAAAAAATCATAATTTACACGGAAAAAAAATATGGAATAAAAAATGAACTTAAAAAATAAATGTTACATAAATATCACGTTCGTTAATTTATTAAATTGAATATATATTTTTTAATATATTTTAAAATATTTAAAAAAAAAAAAAAAGATTTCAAATTTTCAGACTAGCATTACAAAATAATTATTGCAGTAAAAAATTAAATTATTTGTCGGAAAAATTTTTCTTTTTTGAAAAATATTGAAAACCGAACAATTTTTTTGTATATTACCGTGTTCATCATTATAATTTTTTATAAAATAAATTTACATCACTTATAGTAAATTTAAAAAATTATATAAAGATCAAAAATATAATAAAAAAAATGTTAAATACATTAAATTATTTAAAAATCTTTAAATAAATTAATAAATATTTTATAAAAAAAAAAATCGTTCATTGATAAATTCATGTTTTTTGGAGTAAAAAACTCCAATTAAAACTATAGTGTCTCCAAAAATTAAAGTGAATGTTGTTGAGAATTTAAATGTGTACTTACTATTTTGAAATAATTTTTTCATATTCATATAGTTCCGATCAATGTGTAAATTCTGTTTTGCGTACTTTACAAACATTTTCTTTTCATGAATATACATTAATATAGTTATAAAATATATACCGAATTTATTTTTGAATTACAAAATTTTTTATATATTAATATTTTTTTTATTTATTTATTCAATTATTTTAACTTCCTTATTGTTTCGCGTTTTGTGAAATAATAAGGTAGTTATTTTCATTTTTCTTTTTTTTATTTATTTACTGATAATAATTGTTATTTAGTTAAATACTACGATAGAAATAACTTATTATTTATGTAGTTAATAAGGCATTAAAAAAAAAAGAATTAGTTATTTATAAACAGTCCTATTTTATGAAAAATTTTTATATATTCATATAAAATGTATGTATTAACGTATAACATATATATAAAGAAAAAGTAATAATACATAGATTTAAGAAAAGACGTTTATTTTATGTATAAATGTACGCAAAAGGAGTAAAATAAAGTTATTACTTATATTAATATAAAACTAAAGTGATTGCTATTTTCCTCTAGTTTTTAACTTGTAGAATTATAGCGTCTGCTTAAATGTAGATGCAACGTTAAATTGAGTTATGTATTTAGTAATCAAAGCTGAAACAAGTCAAGTTGACGTTAGCTCTGTATTTTAATAAGTAGATGCCTCAGTCTACTATACTGCTAAATATCTTTAACTTTTCTTAATTTTATAAAGAACTGAGGTCCCTCTATAGTCCTGAAAATTAAAATTAAACTTAATAATTCAAAACTCCTACAAATAAATGTAAAAAATGTTCATTTCTCATATAATATAATTTTGTTTAATAAAAAAAAGTTTTTGCTTTTCGACCCAATCAAAAAATATTACAATTTTATAAATATTTTCATTTTTATCAAATCTATTTAATATTTCAAAAATAATCTCTGCATTGGGATTTTTATTATTGTGAATAAGGTTTATTATTGTGAACAATTAAAAATATATTATTCGAACTTTAAAAATATAATTGATAAAATTATCAACAGATATCGCTTCTTTTTTTTATACTATTCAATTTAATATAAAATTAAAATCTAGTACAAATGAACCACATGATTTTGACAATTTCGGATCTCAGACTTTTGACATTACAATTGTCATTTTTTTTCATATATTGTGTTTTGTGTTTTTTTATCAACTTTATAAGTAAAATTACGTAAAGTTCAGGTTAATTAAAATAATATTTTGTTTTCATTTATTTAAAGTTGCTAAATTTATACTAAACATATTATATTAATAGAATATCTAATTATATATCTATATTATTAGGCACCAGAATGAATTCACAATATTATGATAAGCCTGAGGGCCAAGATATGTCCGGTAAATTAATTGCAGCAAATAGATTTGCTGGTGCAGCTGGTGTAGCTTGGGCAACAGTTGATGTTCTTATGGTTTCGAAACCTAAAGGATACCTTCCAACCATTGTACGTTTTGGGATTGTTACAGCTCCATTTTTGGCAGTAGCTTCTTCATTTGTAGTTGGAACATATGCTGCTACAAACTTAAGAGGCAAAGATGATAAGTATGAAAAATATCTAAAGAGAATTATTTGTAGCCATTTAATTTTCATTTCAATATATTTTTAAGAATAAATTATGCTCTTGGTGGTTTTACTGCTGGTGCTGCATTGGGTGCAGTTAAGAAATCAGTTGTTACTGGAATGACAATGGGATTAATTTTTGGTATGTATTCACCTGAAAACAAAAATCGAATTGAGAGAAATAAATTTCACTAATACAATAATTCTTAATTTTAGCAATTGCTGCTTCCGTGAAAAAATTGTCTAGACAAGAAGGATGGGAATTCTTTCCACCAATCAAACAGGGCTCTTATGGTTTACATACACATGATTTTACATTAATGGCAGAAAGACCACGTAATTGGACAGATGGAAAATCATAAATTGATATTAGATTACGAAAATTAAATTAAATATGAAAATTAATAAATCAATTAAAACATGTAGGAAAATTTTATTTTAATTGAAAAATTATTAAATATTAATTAACCTCATGGATGGCTGATACTAATCTATCATTCATTGATTTTCGTTAGGGAAAAGTAATTTGTATTAATCATACCTCATAAGATATTAAAAATCTATTAAGTTAAGATAATAGAATCAATTATGAATTTTTATTTGTTATTAAATCGAAATATTTAATTTTAAATAATTTTACTTTTTAAAATAACTTTTGTAATTTGATTTTGTTTTTGATGCAATCTACGGTTGGAATATTTATTTCAATTAGGTAGTATTAATAGAAATTCATAATCGACCCCAATAATTGTCTTCTTTTTTTAATTTTCTTCTTGAGTTCATGATTTTGTCGTTTCAAAGGATTTCAATAACGTTTGTATTAGTAAATTTTCAAGTAATCTGCAAAAATCAGTTTCATTTCTAATTCTATATTAATAATTTCACGTTCAGAAAAACAATAACCTATTTTTACAGGTAAAATAAAAATCCCCTATATTTTGTTAGTCGTATCAATTGAGGTGATGGGATGTTATTGAAAAGAATTTTGTTTACCAGTGTAGAATTTGGCATTTTAGAATTGGTTTTATTAAGAAAATTACAAGCTTTTTAAATAACAACCCATCACGTCAACTGAAACAACCAGCAGGTTGCCAGAACATAATGGGTGATTATGTTCTCACTAATTAATTAATTAATATTTATGTTAACCTTCTTCGAATTATAATTTACCCAATTTTTCATTTTCCTATTGTTAATTAAATAATCCTTTCATAATTTAAATTTTTTTAAATTGGGTACATAAAACCAAAAAAAAATTTGTGCATTATTATAGATATTAATATAATTATATAAATGAATGAAAAATTTTATGTATGAGTGTTTGTGTATACATATGTACATATGTTTGCAAACTCCTACTACTTATTAAAATTCTTTCTTTATGATTGCGAAAAGGGCAATCAACGTGTACAAATTTACATCTGCACTTATCCAATATCTACAAATTTGTTATTCACTTACTTACATACTTATATATGTACGTACTATATGTATTGAAATAGCAAGGTAACAGTTTTATAATTTCATAAATACTTTTACAAATGCATAAACAACAAAAACAAAATACAGTATACCTTCCTACCTACTTAATAAAAATTAGTATTCAAATCCTCTGATAAAATATTTTTATTTGTGGTTTCTTTGTTTGAATCGGAAAAAAAAAATTTTGAATGCAAAGACATTAAAGATAAAACAAAAATAGCAACAAAGAGATTTTTTATGCATTTCAAAAATCCAAAAAAAAAAATATAAAAAATCCTTTATAACATTAAAAATTCCTAAAATGTTATACTGTCACACTCCCCACTCCAACCGAGCTCCTATCATGAAAAATTTCAACAAACATACTTAAAACACAATTTGCTAACATACATACATAAATAAATGTTAAGTTTTGAATTTCTGAGTCACTTATGATTTGCATTAATAAAAAGATAAAAACCATTAAAAATAATAAAAAAAAAAAAGCGAAAAAGGTAAATTTGAAAAATGGATGTTAAGTCCCGCTCCCGCGATGGCGACTTTTCTATAAAAATTTATTATCATTATTGTTTTTTTTTTCTGTGTTTCTTTTTATTAATATTCTTTTTAAATATTATAAAAAATGAAATTCATAAGTCTCGCTTCTACTTACATATATACTTATATAAGGTACTAAATAAAAGCATAACCAATTTAAAGCTGTTAAAAGCATGTTATTTTATTGAAAGTTACTTTATTTATAGTATAAAATTATTTTTATTTAATAGTGTAAATATCTATGCGTTCAAAATAGGAATATAGAATAAATTTATACATTCACACATATTGTATTATAATATGTATATATTGTATTATGACTGTACATACATATATGCATTTTCTTCTAACAAGATAAAACCATTTATGGTTGGACGCTAAGTGAATACAAAATGAAAAAAAAATAGTAATTTTCTTTTAACATAATTTCTTAGATTTTATTGTAATAGTTTTCAATATTTAAGTATCCATGTATATGCATTGTTTATTGGATACGCTAAATGTCCTACAGTATAATGCACATAAATTTTACAATCATATACAGAGATACATATAGGGTATTTCAATATTAATATACCAATTTGCATGATTATTATAATTTATTAAGGAGTAAGATAAAGTGGGGTTTAAAATTAATAATTTGAATTTGTCACACATTCACAATTAAAATAAATACACCCTAATGTAATGTCGCTTTAATATCAAACTCTTCACAGAAACGAAAATACAATATGGACGTAATAACATGCCATATACAACATTAAGGAATAACTTCAATTTTATAAGGTTTTTTTTTTCAAATTTTTAAGAAAAATAATTTTATTTATTCGAATATATTGTATTAGATAATAATTTCTTTTTAAATATTTTGAAGTTGCCATATCACTTAAATTGTATTTAAAATTAAAAATAAATGTTAAAAAATAAATTATAATAATTATTGAGATGAGTTCGATCTATGGATATTATATTTCGATTTGCTCTGTATTCGACGCTAAAAGGGAATTGCTTAACTGCAATGGATTTTGCAACAAAAGATTTCATGGTATATGTTTGAATGCTCCTAACTAGAGGATGGTACTATTCTTTTCTGGCGCAATATTTTGTGTGTGAGGAATGAATGGACTATCATTCTAAACTGGGCGATTTGTTTAAAGAAGTTACTACATCCATCAGTAAGCAAAAAGATGATGAGTACATGAGATTTTTTAGTCATAATATTCTTAAAATCTATATGAAAATGAATATTCGTTTTTGCCATTATATAATTTTCACTATACATATGCTTGGAGTTTTTAGCAAATTTTCAAATAAATATGCAAAATTTTGAGAGCAACGTCATTATCAAACTTTGAACAACCATTATTCAATTGAATAAATAATTATTTCCTAATAAATCTAAATATGTATAGAGAAATATTCATTTCATATATTTAGGTTTATGTACTACATAAACTACCATTACCTATAAGTACTACATCTACTATATGTTTACACACACTTGACTATGTTTAATACTACATACATAACCCTGTACGGTACGGTACATATTTACTCGAAAATACAATAATCATTTAAGCATTTACATATATTGAATTAAATTTATGTATCTCGAATTTTAGAAAATATAAATGTATATACATAGTTAATTATAGGTTTATCATGAAAATATAATTTGTACCTGTAATATATGCGTCACGATATAATTTGAAATCTAAGGTGATAATTAGTTATAATTAATTAGTATAAACTCTGTATATATACTGCATATTGTGCATAAAAGAATGGAAAAAAAAATAATTTCATATTTTTAAATCTCCTAATATTCAAAATGGTTATAAGCGTGTATATTACAATTTTTTTTTTTTATTTAAAAAGAAAACTAAAATAATCGAATAACAAAAAGATTTTTTTTTTGTAAAAACGGTAAGTTGACTGTTATATTTATGGTTTTTTTGATCTTTTTTTACGGGAGGAACCAAAAAAATATTTTTTTTTATAATATAAGAAACCAGTTTTATTGAATCAAAATAATAAAAAATTATTTATAGCAATACATTTTTTTTTTCTTTATTATTAATATAGAATTTATTATTTCTATTGTTACATATAAAGTTGACCGCTATTGTATATATATATATTATTATTGTTAAATTGTTTATATTAGAAAATTAAATTAAGAAAAAATAAAAATAACTCAATTTAAATTCTTGTACACAAAAGTTTAACAAAACGTTTTGTTAATTTTATTAGTGAATTCATGAATTTTTTTTTTAGTATTCATTATATAATTTAGAATATTTAGGTATTCTATCCGTATATATAAATATAATATATTGTATTATGGTTATATACATATAAATTATATTAATTACAAATAAGTTATTATTCAAATTATGAATTTCATTCGATTGTGAACTTTATTCAGGAGTAAAACTAAAAAGACTTCAGGTTATTATGGGTGAATTCCACATTTAATTTGCTATATAATTGCAAAAATAAAATTATACCGAAAAATGTGTCTTTGATTTGGTTTAAATTAATTGAGAGGAACTTGAGAAGAATATTAAGCAAACTGTTATACATACAAGATTAAAATAATTAATATGTTAGAAATACTATAATATACAATCCTACAAATTTCATATTTTAAGGTTAATAAAATCAACTTATAAAGACTCTATCTCTGCCTTTATAAGGATTCTAATACCTTTAATCAGTATAAATTCGTTGAATGCTTTATCAAAACTTTTAGAAAATTTTTAAGAAATTGTAAAACGTAAATGGCTGGTGATTTTCGCAAAAATCAGTTCCAATTTAGATTTTAATATAAAGCATGTTTAAAAAATCAAAATTACGAAATCTTCAAATGTACAACATTTTCGTTAAATCTGTACTACAAAATAAGCAAATTCCAAAATTGTAACATGCTTAAAATTATAAATCAAAAAATTCTCAAAGATTTTATGAGAAAAATGTAAGATATTACAAATTTGAGAAAATAAGCTAATTAGTTCCTGTATATAGATCTGTAATGATGCAAAAAAAAAAATGATTTTAAAAATTTATGTTAAAACATTAAGTGCATAACAAAATTATTAAAAAATCCTGCATTTTATTGCTTCTACGCCTTTATTAATTCAATGATTTCTTCCTTACTTATGATTTCTTTTGTGTGCGTCATTCAAAAAAAGAAATTTTTCATAAATCAAAAATTCGCCTTTTTAATTTTTATCGAAGATATTTTTTGATGATCATTTAAATCATTTTGTATTTATAAGACCATTACCAAGAGTTAACATTAAAAACGAACTGGAATGATTTTTAAATGAAAATCATAAAAAATTTTCATAACTTTAAGCAATAATTTATACCTGAAATTTTCGTTAAATTTTCAACTTTTATTTATAAATTTAAAAAATATTCAAAAAAAAAAAACTTATTAAAATTCATAAAGCATATTGCATTTTAGTATTATTCTTAAAATTTAATAAGATATTATGTTTAATATAAAATGATTAAGAAAACCTGCGCATATTTAATGCAAGCGGTTGTCATTTTATTTAATTACAAAATTTTGTAGGAACCCAATGCAGATGCAGTTCACTGTACAAAGTTGTTTTTTTTTTTTTT